TTGATGCTTACTGCCAATAAACATTACGTTGTTGAATGTATTGAGAAATAGTAGAAGTATGATATAAATAATACAAGTGGTCCATATATGCTTACTTGTAGGTAAGTCCATTAATTCTTACATTAATCCTTACGTCCATGCTTCCTGCTCACGGGATAATGCTAGAGTTTAGGCGATTTTAGCTGGTTAACTGCAACAGTTCCAAAATGCACACTCAGGGATCCCCAAGCCTTGGATCTTGCCAACCTACGCCTATTGCTATTTATTAGATAAGCAGAGTGCGTCCCTCCTGGGAGACAGTACACATTCCATTCCAAACACAGGCAAATTTCTGTATGTGGAACTCTCAGTCTGGTATGGAAACTCAAACTGATGGAGGTGAGACCCGCATGTGTCAGACATCCGGCGAACCAAAGAAAAAATTAAAAATAAACAATATATTTTATTTGCAGATTCTCAGTGAGCGTCACTTAGAAATGGAGAGTGTTTAAAAGATTTGTGGGGTAAAAATACATCCATTAATTCTATCAAGTTTGCATTTCAGAGCGGCCAGAATCTGGCAAATTATTGAATTCAGTATTAATTTTGAAGTTGGTTTTCAATAGTTCTCAAAAGAAACTTACAAGCTGATGATACAGTGCCAATAAAAAAAAAGCATGTTGTTTGTAAATAATGTGATAGGTATTTTTTAAGTTTGTAGAAAATATAACACAATGCAAATTTAATATAATGCCTTTCAAGTTGAGAGGACATCCCAAAACACTTAATGGTGCTGGCTGGTGATGGGAGCCAAATGAGGTGGGGAGGGGAAAGATGATTAAAAGCACAGTCGTAGAGGTAGGTCTTAAGACAGATCTTGAACGAGGAGAGTTGGAGTTCCAGGGAGTGAGGGCAAAAGAGCTGAAAGCCTGTGGAGAATTAGGCAGATTGAGTAAGGAACATGAAGCAGGCCAGTACTTACTGAGTGAAGGGAGCAGCTGGATCGATAGGGAAAAGCTGGAGTTCTCATTTTTAAATGATATATTTCCATTAATTATTTCCATCCATATGCAAGAAATACGTGTAAACAAAAGGTCACTCCTTAAACATTGCATAACAATCACACTTCCAAGAAGCTCATTGCATGAAACACTTTGGGACATTTCAAAACAGTGAGGTGCTATATCAAAGTATTGGTTCATAAATAAATCTAATTTATGTTAGTAACTGTATCTATAATTTTGTATGACTAATAGATTCTGTAAAAGCAAAACATAGCCTTAACTTGATCTAGTTCCCTTTGCAATAACTCTATTGATTCAGCCTCAAATAGCCACTTGTAATGAATTCCACATTCTTAACAACCCTCTCAAGTGAAACAAAAATCCTAACTTTCCCCATTTCTTTTGCTAACGAGTCTGAGACCTTCTCACTGAGCCCTAACTAAAGGAATAGGTTTCCCCTATGTATTTTGCCACGTCCCTTCAGTTTTAAAGTGCTCTGTCATTCTCTAAATAGAGAATAGTAGACAGGTGGCATTTACAGATAATATTATAAATTTGGGTTTACAGACAGAAATCGTTCAGTAGTTATGATGCGATAAGCTTTAAAGCGATGATATATGTGAACCAAAGTATTTGTATTCGCTCTAAACTTTCTGCAAGAAAAGCAATCAACGTTTGTGAAGTGAAAGCTGGAAGATGTCATTACACTCCAGCTACTTAAATGGACATATTCGAGTAACGTTTCTGCATGCAAAATGATGCATCTCTCCCTCTCTCTTTCTATATATATATATATAAAAATATTTATATATAAATGCACGACATTGAGCTGTTTGGAACACGTTCAGGTGCTTTGCATGTTTCCACATGGATTCAAGAGAACACGATGGGCAGATCAAATGGGGGAAAGAGTCAATCTCAGGTGAAGTGCGTGCAGGCACTGGTACAAAGCTGTGTTGGAGCTCTGAGCGGGTGCAAGTCCCAATAATAATTGTGCACACAGGGAGGGAGGGAGGGAGGGAGGGAAGGAGGGTGTTTTAGCAGAAGTTGCAGTGAGGGATTTGTGGATTTGCTTGTGGCAGTGACGTGCTGTTGCCACTTGCTCACTGCCTGGCTCTATAATAGTCGCTGCAGGAGTCTGGGCAGAGTGGTACAGACATCGCCGCGAGAGACTGCAGACACTGCCCATAGCATTAGACACAGTCTTATGACTTGACAGACCTCAAATAAACTGGACAGCAGAGAGAGGGAGAGAGAGAGAGAGAGAGAGAGGGGGACGGAAGGCAATACACTGTATTCAGAGCAAAGCGGTGTAAGTAATTCATTTCATGCATTTTTATGTTAACTGTACCAAGAATTGCTGGTTGGAGCTGATTTTTGCAGATCAGTTTCAATAAAATGCAATTCAATCGAGTGCTTTGTGCTCCACCAAAACGAGTTAATTGATGCATTTCGGAGTGTAATTCGACGTTCAGGTTTTATTGTACAGACGCACAGAAATCAATGAACAGATTGAAGGAAATAATGGCACGAGTGGGGTTTTGCCTTATTTAAACTGGAATGCTTCAAGAGTAATTTCAAAGGCAAACGTTATATAGTTTATTCCAGGTATTTGATGGAGTAAACCATATACTCATTAGTTAGAGACTTTTTAAGTAGAGCTCACATAGTGCTAAAAAGATGGTCAAGCATTTTGTTGGGAAATTCTGAATGTGAGACAAGGTTAGGGTTGATAGATATGTGCTCATAGATTCCAATTATAGAACAACAGAGGGTTGTAATGGTTAACATGGGAGATCAACTGTCTCATTTACAGTTACTTCATATTTTCAACAATTTAAACTGAACTCAACCTCTTGTACATTGCACCCATCTTCTAAATATGTTATTGATCCTGTTTTTCCAAACCTGTAGATGTTTGAGTTTAATAGAGATGAACTGGATTGGTATTGGCGAGTTTAAACCCTATTAGTTTTTCAGTTTTTAAATTTATGTAGAGGAATTCTGATGGGAGAAAATCAAATTCCTGTTACGTAGGAACTTTAATTCAAATTATCTTATAAATATTTGAGCAAATCATAAGCAAACCTTTACCAACTTCTAAATACCTGGATCACTATCTCGAGAAAATAGCTAGTGTTTTAATTGGTGATTAAAATCAGAGGATGCGATGAACAGCACCTGAACTAACCATAGAGATTTACAGCACATTGGAAGACCACTTAGCCCATTGAATCTGTGCTGGTTGTTAGAAAGAGCGAACCATTCACTCCTATGTGTTCCCTTTTCCAACAATAACAACCACCTGCATTTATAATAGCACCTTTCACTTGGGGTAGTGTCCTGTCCCCATACCCCGACAAATTACTCCTTTCTTAGACATCTATCTAGTCTGCCCTGGTAATAATCTCAAGTAGTACTAGATTAATGCTCCAGTGCAATGCTGGGGAGTGTTGTATTGTCAGAGGTGCCGTCGTCTGGATGATACATTAAACTGAGGTCCTTTCACTAACCATTTAAGAATCCCATCGCACGATTCAGAAAAGAGAAGGGAAAAGAGAAAAGACAAGCCAAGCTTCTCCTGGTGTGTTGGCTAACAATCCCCACATAAAATTGGTCATTCATTTCATGGCTATTTGTGGGACATTGCTTTGTGTAAATTGGCTGCCTGTTTTGCCTCCAAATACACAGTCATTTCAACAATGTAATAAGGGTCTGGAGTCTTGTAGCTCAGTGGTTAGAGCACTCGCCTCCCAAGCGAGAGACCTGGGTTCTATTCCCGGCAGGGGAAAATGTTGGGCAAATTTCCTTGTTCCACACACCTCTGTTTACCTAGCAGTGAGTAGGAACCTGGTTGTTAGTCGATTAGTGGAATGCTCTTCTGGCGGTTATAATCCCTTCAAAAAATAATAATAATAATAATAAATTGGTCACTTCAATCCACGACTGTTTGTGGGACACTGCTGTGCACAATTGGCTGTCGTGTTTCGCCCACAAAGTATACAGTCAACTCTATGTAAAAGTATATTCTGTGAAGCGCTTTGTGATGTCTCGAAGACGTGATAAGGCACTATATCAAATGCAAGGATTATTATTATTAAATGTGTATGCTAATTTGTGAGTCTGTATTGAAAAGCAATAGGTTATTCGAAAATCGGAAACTTCATAGAACCAGGAACTCTTCCTGATCCCCAGCTCCTCCCCAAGCCTGGAAATTGCAATACCTCCCGCCAGAATTGTGATTTTCTTTGAACCTGGGACTTGAAGAAAAATCTTGCACTTGATATAGTGCCTTTTACAAAGGAAGGAAGTGTGAAAGTGCTTCACAAGATATATTGTCAAGTGTAGACACTGTGTATTTTATAGGTGACTGTGACAAGCAATTGTGCACAACAGTGTTCCACAAACGGCTATGAAGTGAGTAACCAATTTTATATGATTTCCTGGTCTGCATGGCTCATATACATACAGACTATAGCAACTAGACACTGAACCAGCAGGAAGAGCACCATCTCAAAAATGCACCAACGAATAGAAAAAGTAATAAGCTTACAGCAAATTACATTGAAAGCAAGCTTGTAATGTCCTGTGACAGGAAATTCCTCCAGATCAAATGTCACCTTCAGTTGTAATACTCTTCACATAGGCCAATGTCACAATTACTCAGGTTTGTACCACTACCAAACCTGATATCAAACGGCTATTATATTATTTTTAAAGCTTAGTTAGTATTTATTACATAAAGCAAGTAGTTGCAAGCACAAAGACTAATTAATTTTAGTCTTGGTGTTATGGATGACTCTCACAGCTGCTAAGGATTTGTTCTCATGGTTAATATACCTTACTGTGGTCAGGTCTCGTGGCATATTTTTACCTTTCAGCTAGGTTACAGCAGCTCCAATTGCACAATGATATTTATATTAAATCATTTGTTTTATTTTTGAATCTATATTTATAGATATTACTACGCTGTCTTGGAACACTCAAACTTCATTCATTGCAAGTCACATCCTTATCATGCGTCGCCTCACTGTCCAGACTCTGCTGCTGTACCTGCTTCTCATCACAAGGGGATGCTGTGATTTCCAAGACACGATCAAAGAACTGAACACAGAGTTTGCTCTGAACTTTTACCACACGTTTGCAGGGCTTGAAGGTTACCATAATGTAATTGTATCTCCGGCAAGTGTCACTGTGGCACTGGGACTGTTGCAGTTTGGAGCCAAGGGAAACACCTTCACTCAGCTGGAAAATGCACTAGGATATAACGTTCACGGTAATGCAGTGCACCTGGTGAATTTTTTTCATCCTTGTTAGACTCATTATTATATAGCATAGACACATTATTCATCTTTGTTAGATTCACTGATCTAAAACAACAACCTGGTTAAGATTCAAGTATTTAAAACAAACAGCTCCTAAGTGAGTCTTCATTTACTAACTATTCACTTTTCAGACCGTAAGCAAACTCGCGGTTTCTCCCCACATCCTGGCCAATAATCCCCCCCAAATAAAATTGGTCATTCACTTTGCTGCTGTTTGTGGGACATGGCTGTGTGCAAATTGTCTGTCGCTTTTGCCTACAAATAAGGTCATTCAATTTTACAGTATATCATGTGAAGTGAACTTAGGCATCCTCCTGACAAAAAATGGCGCTATACCAAATGTTAGGATTATTAGTAGTAGTATTTCATAACAAGCAAACAAGCAGCTGATGGTTACTTCAGCTAGTCATATACTATATGTTAGGGTTAAAAAAAACACAACAGTTTGTTAATTACTTTATTTGCAGAATATACTAGTTAATCAGCGCTTTAGAGACATTTTCTTTATCTAAATCTCATATCAAGGAATTCACACAGTATCAAATTATATCAATAGCTGCTTTAAGCAAAAGGTACTTATGTATCTTTGCTTTGTAAATCCTTGAGTGATTTAGGTAAAACTATAAATGTACCAGTGCTGGGAATAGAGCATTTTCACCGTGGGCACCTGGTGGTAGCACTAACACAATCTCAGATGTGGATCAACCTCCCAGAGGAGTGTTCCTTCTGCTGCAATGTGACATTTCCATAGTCTGAAATCCTTTTCATCTTAGTAAATAAGATTCCAATTTAACCCAATTTATGTCTAAACTTAAGCAGGGTATAGGACTAGAAGAGATTTACTGATCATCTGCGAGTATAGAAGTGTTCTTCCAAGCAAACAAGTTTAGCTTCCTTTATCAATCTTAACGAAAGAGTACGCAATTTGAGAAACATACCAGCCTTTTACAAAAATTAAATATTATTAGAAAAACATTTCCTGTTAAAGAGAATTAATAAATTTACAGGTCAAGGTTGCAATGGTTACATGAAAGGTGAGTATTGTGCAGAGCAAAATTAGTTTAAATGAACTACGATCAATGTAAATTGGGAGGATATAATGCTTTTCCTTAAAAACAATCTGAAAAATAATCAAATTAATTGTTTTTTAGAAAACACTCACAAGGTAGTTCACCCTCTAACTGAAGGTTGCTATTTTCACCATATTTCTGATGTTAGGTCGAGAATCTTAACCCAGTACTTCACTTGCTCATTGCGTCCAGCAGGAAAGTGAGGTACTAGGATCGTACCTTAAGTGACAAAACAATGATCAAATTAATTGTTTTTTAGAAAACACTCACAAGGTAGTTCACCCTCTAACTGAAGGTTGCTATTTTCACCATATTTCTGATGTTAGGTCGAGAATCTTAACCCAGTACTTCACTTGCTCATTGCGTCCAGCAGGAAAGTGAGGTACTAGGATCGTACCTTAAGTGACAAAACAATGATCATTTGATCTCAATACAGCTTCCTTCCATCATGAGGACATCCAGTCTGAGTTGCCAATATCTCGTCAGCAAGGTGATGTTGTCTTATTTCATTCTAGTGGCCCTAATGAGAACTGATGAAGCTCTTGACAAAGTGAGAGCACCATCAGTTTGATATTCTTGAACAAAACAAAGATACTGGCATCTCAAATGAAGGTGTTTAATGAGGGTTGACACCTTGAGTTTTATTGCCCAAAGGGCTCCAAGGATGATAATGTTTAATGCCCACAAGTAATTCTGAAGTAAGTCTTGGCTTGGGTTATTAACACTGTATTTGGTTTCACAGACTTGCGAGTGCAGCGTTTCTTGCGGAAAATGTATGAGGATTTAACAAACTCGAGTCACAGTCCAGTGGTTCAGCTGGCATGTGGCCTCTTCGTGGAATCCAGCGTCCAGCTCTCCCCTCATTTCTCTGAGCGCACGGCAGTCTGGGGAAATGGCAGTCTGCAGCGAGCAAACTTCAGCAATCCCAATGAAACTGCAACACTGATAAATAATTGGGTCAGCGCAAAAAGTGGAGGTAAACATTGCACAATATTTTCCTTTCCATAGTAACATAATAAACATCTCATGCAGGACCAGGTCAGTTTATCCTTCAAGTGGAGGACAAAATCCTAAAATCCTTTTTTCCACCACCCACTAACTCCACCATGCCCCACCTCAGGCCTCCTCAATCTTCGTATCAAATGCGAGGAGGTCATGGACTTCTTTTCATCTAAAATACTTAACATCCACCAGGCAGCCTCATCCATCTGCCCCTTGTCACCCACCACCACGCCCTCTCTGTCCCCCTCAACTTCCTCACCATCTGCTCCTACCACCACCCCCATTCTACATTCCTTCCTCCCCATCTCTCCCTCCTCCCTCTCACCCACCATCACCTCCATGAAACCCACCACCTGCTGCCTCGAACCCCTCCCCACTAACTTGCTGGTCACCCAGCTCCCCCTACTGTCACATCTCGGGCTGGATGAGCGCAAATTTCTTTCAGCTGAATGTTGACAAGACGGAAGCCGTACTCTTTGGCTCTCATCAATGTCTAAAATCTCACAGCTCTCACCTCCTCCACCTACCCAACCTTCCCCTAAAACTTTCCGAACCTGTACGCAACCTCGGCGTCAGGTTCGACCCCTAATTATCCTTCCTCTCCCACATCCGGTCCCTCACCAGCAATGCTTTCTTCCACCTCCGACGCATCGCCCGTCTCCGTCAATACCTCTCCCCAAAAGCCACTGAAACCCTGGTCCATGCCTTTGTCACCTCTCGGCTTGACTACTCTAACGCCCTCCTCGCCGGTCTCCCATCCATAAAATCCAAATCATTCTAAACTCTGCCGCCCGCATTCTCACCCGCACGAAACTCCGCTCCCTGATCACCCAAACCCTTGCCAGACTGCACTGGCTGCCTATCCCAGAGAGGATTGATTTCAAGATCCTCACCCTTGTATTCAAGTCCCTGCACTCCTCTGCACCCCCCTACCTCTCTGACCTCCTCTCTCCTCAAAACAGTACCCGTTGCCTTCGTTCCTCCGGGTCTGGCCTCCTCCTCGTCCCCCGAGTCCTCCTCTCCACCCTCGGCGGCTGTGCCTTCAGCCACTATGCCCCGAGGCTCTGGAACTGCCTTCCTCACTCCCTCCCCTCCCATTTTCAGGTCTCTGCTGAAGACCTTTCTTTTCGACCGCACTTTTGGTCACCTTCCCACCCCTCCCCCTCCCTCTGGCTCGGCCCCGGGATCCGTTGCTGTGAAGCGCTCTGAGACGTCGTCCGGCGTGGAGGGCGCTATATAAATCTAAGTTGTTGTTGAGGTAAGCAGGATGTCCTTGTTACTGAGCTGGCTTCAGGGTGCTTGGCAATGGAATTTCTTAATCAACTGAATACTCTGTGCTGATCTCGGTAATCCAGTTCCTGAGTTAGGGCACTGCTGATACTCAGTACACAGTATTCCAGGGCACTCTAATGACCAGACCAGCCACCCTGCCACATTGGCACAACTTGGAAGGACAGACCAGTTACTGGGAGCAGGGATTCTTCCCACTCAGCTCCTGTTAACTGCAAACAAAAACCCAATTTGGTAGGGTGGCCCTAACTGGGCAAGCAGCGTAAAACTTGCCAGACAATGCTCTCAATGGCAAGCTATGCGGTTTTAGCTGGCTAAACTCCAGCAGTACCCCAATGCCCACTCTGGGATTCCCAAGCCTTGGCACTTGCCAACCTGCATCTAAAACTCTCTGGAATTATGTAAGTTAGGGTGTGTCCCTTCAGCTAGAGAATGTGCATCCCATTCTAGATGCAAGGAAATTTCCATGTGGAGGTGGCATACATATGTGGGACTATTTGTCTGGTTTGGATACCATCTTTGTCAATGAAATCTCGTAGAAATGTGTAGAAAGGTAATCTCACCAAGGCAGCGAAGAATTTCTTTTGAAATGTCGCAGTATAATTCAATCACGTTTTCCTCTCCCAACAGGTGAAATTAGAGATTTTATGGCTTGCCCCATGGCAACCCCACCCCTAACACAGATTGCTGTGGCCAGCGCCATGTATTTTAAAAGTACGTGGCAGAAACCTTTTCTACTCTCAGAGACCCAACACCTCTCATTTACCAAAGCGGATGGAACCGTGGTTAAAGTACCCATGATGTATCAAACAGCAGAAGTCAACTATGGTAAGCCGCCTCCCAAAATCAAACATGTGCTCTGTAATTGATATCATCATACTTAACTGCTTAAAGGTAACAATAATCCTCCCCCCATCCAGCTTCCATCCATGCACACACACGCAGAAACACACACACATAACCAGCAGAGGGTGTTAAACAAGGAGAAGAAGCAGGAAACCTTCAATATCCTCGCATTTGCTCTTGATATACCACCTTGTTACCTCATTGAGATATCTCATAGAGTTTCACTGAATATATAACATACCTGATTCTGCCTGATTCTATCTTTCCTAACCCAGTTTAGCTTCCTTATGCATTCACAACTGAGTCTAGCAAATTCAGCATGAGACAGTGAGATTCTGGTTTATATGTAAGCAGCATCTGTATCCATTACACCATCAGGGCTACCCCTGATCAATGTCTTTTTGATACTGTCATCCCAGGCACACAAGGAATATTTGTTTCTGTAATATTATTGCAGGCCAGATCAAGACTGCGACTAATCAGAGATTTACCGTGCTGGAGCTCAGCTATCTTGGGCATGCGGTGAGCATGTTTATCATCATCCCTAGTGAGAGGAGAATGCCACTGTCTGCCTTAGAGCCACACATCACATCCAGAAGCCTTTCAATGTGGACAAACAATATGCGAAGAATAAAAATGGATGTTTTCTTACCGAAGTAAGTGTCTGCATAATCAACAATCAGAGAAGAAACCCATTGCATTCAAATAGGCCACTTGGCTATTTGTCCATCTACATCCAAAATAGGATAGGTCAGGGTATCAAGGGACACGGGGCAAGGGTGGGTAACTGGAGTTGAGGTACAGATCAGCCGTGATCTTATAGAATAGCGGAACAGGCTTGAGGGGCTGAATGGCCTACTCCTATTTCTGTTTCTAGTGCATTTTGTAATTGTCATGAGGGTCACTACAAGAATTCTATAAATGCAGCAGAAGTTATATTGAGGGTCTGCCCTGTATTAAATGATAATCTAGGCTGACAGTTCACTGCATTGTTGCAGATGCCATCCTCCGGATGAGACATTGAACCAAGATGCCATGCGCCTCGTCAGGTGGATGTAATGCCTGGTACGAAGCCGTGCACTGCAGACCAACAAGGTGCAAAGTATGATCCTTGGTCTGTGCTGATGCAGTAACTGAAATCACGACCGCCGAGGGTGGAGCAGTGGGGATGAGGGAGGAGTTTGGAGCTGGCTGAGTGAAGGGGCTGTTAGTGGAGTGGGGTGTTCACAGCATAGAGAAATAGGGAGGTGCAAGGTATGAATTGATTTGTCAATAAGTGTGAAGATCTTGAAATTGATCCGCTCTGCAAGAGGGAGCCATTGGAGCCTGGCAGGGGGAGATGTGGATATGTAGTTTGCTTTTGGTGAGAATGCAGGAGGCACAGTTTGGGTCAGTAACTTCTGAACTTCTTTAAATAGACACTTGTCTTCAGGGTAAAACACTAAGCTGATCTCTTCTCCACCCACCCTGTTTCTCCTCTATTTTTAACACTTAGGTTTAAAGTGCAAAATAAGTTCAACCTGAAGATGGTGCTAGGTGCTTTGGGAATGACTGACCTTTTCAGCCCTGGTGAGGCCGATTTCAGAGGAATTTCTGGTAAGTTGCCATGTGTATTCCTAGTAGAACAAGATGTATGCATGCAATAGCTATGAATCACAATGTTTTGACAAGATTGTTTTAGGATTAGAGAAAGACAGGGTAGTTTGGTGGCACAGCACACAGAGGCATGAACATGCAGTAGCATGGATCAGTGGGTTGCTGGTTTGAATTCCACCACTCTGCTGAGATCAACATCTCAGGCACCAAAATCAAGAAGCCACAGCTCCTCAGGTGTGAGAGTGAGAAAAATCAGAGGGAGCTCTTAGGCATCATAGTGCTGAGGTTCTCAAACTGGGGACTGGAATAGGGGCATATAGCGCTGTTAGGTATTTGGGGTTATTTTGAATGTAACGACAGCTCGCACTGATGTTTAGAAATAGTAATCCTTGCATTAGAATTATTAGACATCTCAAAGAGCTTCACAGAATATATTGTAAAGTGGATTGACTATATATTTTGTGGCCTAACGCGACAGCCAATTGCGCACAACTATTTAAAACAGTTTATATACTTATTTTTGCATTTACTCTCAGTATGCCACGTTAAGCTTTTTCCATTGTTTGTTAATTGTTGTGATTATTATGTTATGTATGTTAATAGTAGGAATTGCTAATCTTGCTATGTGCAAAGGGGCTTGAATTGAACGTTGGCTTTGTATAAAAACATTCAAAATTTTAGGACGTTCCTTTGTAAAGACGGCAGAGCTATGGCACAAAATATTGGAATACAGATGCTTGAAAGGAAACACAGAAAACGTTTTTGTTTTGCAAACGGCTTCCTTTATTTTCTTGAATTCTTTTCAAGTGTTGTTTGCAAGTAGGGTACTCACTTTCTGTGGATGTATTGTGTGGGTGTCCTCAGCATGATGCCTAATGTCATGGGAGGGGTGGTGGGGCTTGAGACCACAAAATTTGGGAATCCATAACTTAATTTTCGGGGTAAACACCAAGCCAATTTGCAGGTGGCGGAAGAGAAAATCATTTTGGTAAACTCACAGGAATTTAAGAAATAAACAAATAAAACCAAATTGCATCAATATTTACTTACTCTAACAGAAACAAAGGAACACAGAAATATTCAGTGGCTTGAGAAGCCATTCGTCTATGACTTAGACTGCTCTATGCATTTAATTTTGTTAAAAGTTTATTTTATATATAGCAGAGAAAGTCTGCAGAGGATCTCCATGGTCTGAAACTGTGTGAGCACAGCCTGCCATTTGGGGACCAACTCGTTATAAAAAGTACTACTGAATAAGTCTTTGAAAACGGTTGACTGGTCCTCACAAAGGCACAGTTTGGAAAAGGTTGAATTAGTCCAAATGAGCTGGTTATGCAGGTTTGGCATAAATAATGATCACTTTCAAGTCAAGTTAATTAAATCTCCAAATGGTAAACAACCATGGCTAAGTCAAACAGGTTGTAACCAAACTGCAAAATGCAAATGTGAAAAGAATACAGTAAAACAACAGAGTTCTGATATGACAGATATACAAAAACAGAAGTCGCTGGGAACACTCAGCAGGTCAGGCAGCATCTACGGAGAAAGGAAAGTGAGTCAACGTTTTGGCTCCATGACCCTTCGCCAATTCTGACGAAGGGTCGTGGACCCGAAACATTACAGATTTCGGATGTCGGCCTTCCCAACTGCTCCCTCCTACCTCTCCGACCTGCTAACCAATTATCAACCCGTCTGCTCCCTTTGCTCAGCAGGCTCTGGCCTGCTCCATGTCCCCCGCCCGGCCCAACCCCACCATCTGTGGTCAGGCCTTCAGCTTCTCTGCCCCCACCCTCTGGAACTCCCTTGCCTCATTCAAGGCACGCTCAAGACTCTCCTCGACTGTGGCTTTGACCACACTTCTACCTTCTCTACCTTCCACCCTCCCTTACCGCTCGGGTCCTAATCCCTGAATGTTCAGCGCCTTGGGATGTCCTCCCAATGTGAAAGGCGCTTTACAAATATAATTTTGTATTGTATCTTTACTGTGGAGATTAAAACATTTTTACATTCTTGGTGCCATTTTAAATATCCTTCTCCATCTTATACAGAAAAGATCAGTGAATATAACGGAGAGCAATTCCTACGTTTTAAATTCTATGAATATCTAATAATCACTAATGACGTTTTGTAATTCTAGAGCAGGACAAATTGTACGTTTCTGAAGCTATACATGAAGCTAAAATAGAAGTCACGGAGAATGGCACCAAAGCTGCAGCTGCTACAGGTATTTAACATTTTGAAAAAAATCCCACTTCATTAAATACAGTACTGATCCATAACTGTATGGGGTGAGGGAAACCTGCTCAGGGTCTATGTTGCCCATGGATTTATACCCCCAATACGAGTTACATACCTTCAAAATTAACAAGGCAAAATTAAAAATACAACATTAAATATGAATTATGAATAGTTTAGTAACTTAAGAACTGTGCTTCACTATATTGGCCTAACAATCTTACAATAGACTTGTGCTTTCCTTCAGCTATGGTTCTACTGAAAAGATCACGGTCACTTGTATTTAAGGCAGATCGACCATTTTTCTTTCTTCTGCGGCACACCAACACAGGTAATGCATAAAGTAGCAATATCAAGAAAATCTACCAACAAGAAAAATTAAATACAAGTTGAGGATGCAGATGAATAGAAAATGTCAATGTGTAACATTGAATAGAACAGTACATAGACAATAACGTTGCCCTATAAAATCTGAGGATGCAGATAAATAGACCTGAAAATGATTTGGGGGATGCACTATATTCCGCCAATGGATGTGGTTCACACCTTCACTTCATTAATGACTTAAGAAAATTTTCTTTCATTCCACTCCATGTCAAGGTTTCCTATTTTAATATCTCACCTCCTGGGTGAAGGACAGTAAGTTCTATCAAAATGGAACTTTGACTCTCACCATTGACACTAACTTCAATAAAATGTGCAGGTCGAGCAAAGTTGGACTACATATCTTCTGATGGTACAGTGCAATACTGAGGTCTAATTTGTCAGATGCATGCAAGGAATAATAATAAATTGTGAAGTCTGCAGTTTCTTGAATGTATCTGAAGTCGACCCTCCAGAACTCTGGTCAGATAGCGATCAGTTTCTACTTTGTGAAGCCAGACTATAGCCAAAGGAGGCTCTTGGCACCTGGAAGGAGATCAGTATCGTAAAAAGGTCATGTTTGCTACACAACATTAAACTTCAGAATAACTCAGTCTGATTTACAAATTACTTTGAAACTGACAAGATTAAGAACTATATTCATTTGCAAGCATTAAGGGAGTTCAGTGACCTGTTTAGTTCAGACTTTGCAAGCCAGAATGCAGAACAGTGCATTTCTTAGAACAAGGAATATCTTCTGACCATAAATGGGCTGAGTGGCTCAGCTTGCAAGTACTGACAGCTTACGTGACAAACTACAGGTTTAGAATTACATGCAAACCTTTTTTTCTTGCTGAAGCTAGTGTGGAATATGACATTTATATTGCAAAACATTTTGTCTAGTATTTCTTGCACATTATTAACTGTGAAAGTGTAACAAAACAGAAATGGACTCTTTGGTCCCTCAAGTCTGCAGATGCTTTTCTCCGCCTGAACCACCTGATCTAATGCCTCTCTTTCTAATCCTTCGTATTGTAATTCATTTAATATTCCTCCTTTTCAAGCATCTCGTTCTCAAAATAATTTTTGGACTTTGCCTGAACAGATTTTGGCAGAATTGTTCGCCCTTCCCTTATTTTGTCTTTGCGGTTGCAGGACTCCTCTCTGGAGGCTGTAGAACCCTGACAGTGAGGGCCACCATTACTTTCACTGTTATAATGATGTTTTGGCATTGGTGGTGTTTGTAAGGTCATTTTCCAGACCACAGAGAAGGCCTAAAAACATATACGATTTGCAACTTTGGAAACTACTTGCTCAAACGGTTAATGTGTGTGCAGTTGTTTCTGTGTTCCCACTGGCTCTGTACATTCCTCAGTGTAACTATGGGAAATCCATAGCATTGGAAGCAAGGCTAATGTAGACTTGCTGATTTTTGAAACTACTCTGCACAACACTGCATTATATACAATGCAAATTTAACAGATCTGTGACTCTCACACTGTACTATATTGAAAACACTCTCTGATATTTTTCCAACCATCAAACTGTACCTCACCAAGCGTAAATGTCTTCAGAAATGAGAAGAAAAACAGGGGGGGAGAGAGAGAAAGGAAGCAAATAACCTCTCCAGAATTCAGGACATTAAAACATGATATTTATAAAATACATATCTTAGTGAAGCAAAGTTATAACATCAGAAGAAGCAGATATGATATTTTCACCTTTGGATCACTTACCTTATCCAATGTACGTATAGAGTATAATACAGTAAATATCTAATTGATATCATTAGAAGAATGTCAAGAGTTGCTGTAGTCATTTGATGAGATTTTTTAAACACTGAAATTAATTCTAAAGTGTAAAGGCAAACATTGTTTAGGTAAGTGTGAACTAGTTACCTTCTATATTTACTATTCTTGAACAAATTTTAAACATAAGTTGACCAGGCATTTAGCAACTACCATAGCCCCAAACACTTCCAAATATCAAGTAATAAAGTTAAGACAAAAATTGCAACTCTTCAGATTATTTAGTAATCTTTAATAAACTGTTTACAAATATAAAAAAACTAATATTTTCCATTTAATTTCACAGGGGCAATTCTCTTCATGGGACGAATTATGGATCCTCTTGAATAAATATATTCCAAAGTCTGCATTTAAAAAAAATGAAAATGATATGAAAGATTTCTGACCATCATTCCTTTGGAGTTTCTAGGACACTGTATTTATTAACTTTCCACCTTATTGTAAATAGCAATTACAATTTAGCTGAAAGAGGGATATATTTTTACTGTACTCATCTTTGTTATATAAATTTGGGTATTTGTTCTTTTGAAATTGCTGCATTTTAAAAACAAAGTGTATTTGTACAATTCACCTATCGTACACCCTATAGGTACTAGTGTGATCTTAAATGTACAGTGTGGCTGCATTAGAATGTTCTCTGGGTGAATGTAGGTTCACTTAAGAGGTCTGTCTACTGCAGAGCTGAGATATTATTACCAGAAACATGGTATAAACAGTTTGGTGTGCTGACGAGCCCCTGCTTTTTTGACCCCTACCTCCACTCCATCTGTCTATTTGGCTTTCCATCATGTCTGCAACATCACCCATTAATGCCACCTCCCTGGCCTCAGCTCCCCCTTGCACAAATTGCAGACCATTCAGAACCCTACAGGCTGTATCTTCTCCTTTACCAGGCTCGGTGAGCCTATTGCACCCATTCTCACCTAGCTCCCAATCTCCCAGTGGATTAAATTCAAGATCTTGTTCTTGTGATCAAATCCCTTTACGGTCTTTCTCCACTTACTTCTGCAATCCCACTAGCCCGGCTAAGAGCATCGCTGTTGGTCGAATGCAGTCAGTGCCTGATGTACGCAAGTATAGAGTTTTAAATCATTGTTTACTCCACGTTTTCAGACTTACCTCATACAATGATCATTTAATTTTAACCTGAATTTTTTTGCTAAGCATCATTACATGGTCAACATTTGGGAAGAAAACATGCACCCACTGAACTGTTCAGGATTTCTCGTACTGTAACTGATAGCGTCACTGGTTGAAAACCAGAAAAAACACTCAAGAGTCTGGACATATAACAAGGAAAAACAACCCAATATAAAATAGATTTTTTAATGCAGGAAATAGTAACAAAGGCATTTTAAATAATCTTCAAAATATGGCCATTTACAACACACAGTGTTCCATCCAAAAATAATTTGCTATAGACAAATATGTTAGCTCTTTTGAACAACTGTCCTTATTTTGCATACAGTTTGTTTGGCAAGGGCCAGTCCCCAAATACTTATCTGGAAGGCTGAGCTTTGGGAAACTGTGTCAGGTCCGAAGGAAAAAGGGACAAAATGTAAACAAAAACAATTTCAGAATCCATCCGATACAAAAGACGTTTTCTTCCTATAATTCCTTTGCAACGTTTTTAAAAAAAGTTGGATTCGCTGTTTTTATTTGAAAATAGTTTGTCCATTTCCAAAGGATGATGCATCGACAAAAAAATCAAGGGCCAATTGCAGAAAGCAAATGCTGTCTTTTGGAAGGTAAAGTATAGAGTACAAGTCACCTCCTGGGATAGTAAGTTGCCTCTTGCCCACAATGTGATGAATGTGTTCTATGAGCTCCGATCCTTCAAGGAAGTAACGGGAATCTCAATTTCCTTTTCATCAAGGTTCAGATAAAGTATCCGTGTAATGAAAGGTATTGACAAATCAAGCTTATAGCAAGTGGAAGTACAGGAAAAAGAAGCTGTTTATAACCCCCAAACGTCCAGTCTCTTTATTTCTCAGGATCCATTATCGGTTATTGATGTGGTTTATCCGACTGGATTTAGTTTGTATTTCTTCCAGAATCCCTTCAAGCTCTTCAATTAGTACTCGTTTTTTAAACCTATAAGAGGAAACAATATGGTTTTGACTGAGAAGTACACTAAAAGGACTGAACAAAGCAAATGCACAGACAGGAGGATGAAAAATGAGGATTAGGACTGGTCCCGGTGCTGTAAATGGTATCAAATGCTATTTACAATATTTTCCTCACCCAAAAAGTAATTTGCTCCTACAACGTTGGGGCACAGTTACATGCAAAGGCTTTTTTTTTTTTACTAACAACCCTCCTTCACCCACTCGGTTGAGCCACTTTTATTACTGTAACATCACTGCTTCAATATTAAACAATAATCTGAAAATATACAAATGTGTCAAACCTGGGAGCTCAAGGCCAGCCATAATTTAAAAATGAGGGATGGAGGGTGGAAGAATGAAAGAGAAAAATGTCTTTGAATAATTAAAAAAAAGTTGATCTCCTTATCGAGCTCCTTCATAGGTAGCTGGCTGTATGCTACTCTGGGAACATTTGTATTTTGAACATATCAAGCGAAGTGATGCATTGATATTTCTCTCACTGAAGTATTTAACAAGATTTAGATTTGTTATGCTTGGAGCACAACATCCTATATAGTCAGTTCTGTGACCAAATGTAGTTTGTCCAATCAAACTAGAGCAGAGGAAGGGTGAGCAGGATTTCATCCATACATATTTTGATATAAAGCCATATTATTGAAGAGTGATGGGGAAGGGCAAAGAGAGACAGAAAAAGGGGAAAATGGAGATTCCATTAGTTCTGGATGGCGAATTCCACTCACAACGAAGATAACTACATTTTACTGCAATGTAAAGGAGGTTTGGATGCCAATAGGTCAACAATGTACATTTCCTCACTATCTGACAGCATAACCACGTGTCATAGGCCAATATATTTGAAGTGCCAGCAGTTATCAATAGAAACAAAATGCATAATATGGATATGGACGGGGAAGGGAGAGAAGAGCATACAATATGCAACCTGAAATCAATCAATCTTCTTGTAACAACAGTGTAAGAACTTACCGTGCTGCTTCTTTAATAACATTATGCACAAACATCATACGGGTTTCTAGGCTGCCTTGCACTAGTTTCAATAGATAGAAGATGTTTTCATAATCTATGAAAGAGAGAAAACATGGCTGAATCTTTCACAGCGATTTCTTTGAAAGATTCAAATGCATATACTCTAGAATAGATTAAACTTGTGAGCAGAGAAATAGTTTAGAATAGTTATCTTCATTAGGGAACACAGGCCCATTAAACCAAATGTTCAATGATACTACAACTACACAAATGTACCATAATGTTCTTTCAAATAGAATTTCAAGCAAAAAAAATCTAACTTTATTTTGGCATGCTGCAATTACCTGAGAATTAATTTCAATATGAATTTCAAAAGCCCCAACTATGCAGCATTTCTGCACACTTCATACGACCCCAGAACATCTCTTTCCATTTTTAGCAAATGTGTCCAAAGAAATGTTTACTTCATACCAAGTATATACTTTTTTAAAAAACAAATAAGAAACCCGCTTTGAAAGACATTCCTTCCCTCATCGTATCTAAAAACACCAGACTATAATGTTATTTGCACTGATGAATGCTCCTATTTACATTAGTATTATTTCAATCCAGATCATGGTTTGGAAGAGGAAAGGTTGAAAAGTTGTTGGATGGAAAAGATGGAATATTAATTTCACTGTTTGAGCTCTGGTTTTTTCAAAAAGATTTGGCTACCTTAATCTTTGTTTTTGGGATCCCACCTTTGTATTTGGAAGGATAGCAGTTCAATAGTGGGGTTTCTAAGCAAAGACAGGTCTGGGAACTCCTGGTGAGCACAGGTGTCAAAGGTACATATCATGATATCCATGATACCATCAAGATGCAGATTTTTATTCTTGTTCCATTGTCGAGTACATCAGCAGTAGATCATTATTCAAATGTAAAGGAATATATGGATGATACTTAAAACTTCCAAATTATACTCACGCCTGCCTGGTTTCCGGATCTCTTTAAAAATTTGTGTCTTCAGTTCTGCATTTGTCTCTTCTTGCTTTGACAAGTTAAGTGTTTTGATAGAATTTGGTGACGACCTGTGCAAAATTCCATCGTGACACAGTTCACTGTCCCCTGAATCCTCGTGGTTAATTTCAATGGTGTTTACAGAATTGTTATTTACCACTGAAAGATCATAGTCTATTTCTTTGCCATGATTCACTAATTCTTCTGTGGATTCCACAGAGTCAGATTCTGGGCATGTCAAAGGTGGTGCTGACTCTAATCCCTGAGCTAGAATTGCACCTGTTGGAAGAGCATCTGCAATATGGTTCTCAACATAGTCACCAAATACAGTGTGGTTTTCTTCAGCTTCTGCAAAGAAAAATAACAAATACAGAAGTATAATAATAATCTTTGCACTTATACAGAATATACTGCAAAGTGAATTGACTGTATATTTTGTGGGTGAAACGCGGCAGCCAATTGCACACAGCAGTATCTCACAAAACAATTGTGTTCCACAAAGTCATGGATTAAGTGACCAATTTATTATTAATATCGCTCAATTAGAAACTAAAAAGTTAAATTCTCAACGGATTATAGTAACGGGCTCTGGGAGTGAGGTTGCAGATATTTAAATGCATAAATAGAAGTGCAAAGAGACAAAAAACTGAGCTCCGAGATAAAGGTACAGTGAAAAGGACGCGATCATTAATATAAAATGAGTCTGCTGCAAGATGACAGAGGAAAATGTTCGCAACAGAGCCATTTCTCATCTTGATGACCCCAACATAATAGAATGTTCAGGTTCATTAATTATAGCACCCCAGGTTTAGATCAGCTAATTCAATATTTATCAGATTGAACCTTTTCCGCTTTGTCTGGATCAGCTAAACAAACAATCGTCCCACAAACAGTCGTGAAATTGAGTGACCAAATTATTATTATTATTTTTAAGGGATTATTAATCCCGGAAAAGCGATCCACCAATCGACTAACAACCGGGTTCCTACTTACTGCTAGGTAAACTGAGGAGCGTGGAGTAAGGAAATTTGCCCAGCATTTCGCCCTACCGGGAATCGAACGCAGGTCTAACCACTGTGCTACATGATTACACAGAATATTCACAGTATTGCAAATTAGATCCCAATAGCAATTCAGTTGAAGCTCTCTTACCTTTACCAGTTTCTGGCTTTACAAGGTCCACCTGTGACTGTGTAGGTGATACAGGTGGAGAGCCCTTGCCTCCAATGTGATTAGCACCAATGTGATTCGCCACTATTGGCGGTGTTGACGGACGTCCTTTCAATAAAGGTGACATACATCGGCGGCGCTTAGGAACTCCCACCATGTTTGGTTCCATTAGTCGTTTGTTTTTGTTCTGAGGTCCTGACACAAACTCATCTGCTTCATCAATCATCATTCCCTGCATTGTAGGAGTTTGCAACATTAGTTACCCACAAAAGAAAAGTATTTTTGCTGAACTAATAATGTACGCATTTTCTAACTCTTATACAGCTTTCCATCCTCCATGTAACTAACATAGAGTAGGAATTAAAGTCATTAACGCATCTCTTATTAACCTAAGAGATCCACTATTTCAAACCGTAAAGTCCGTGCAGCCAAACGACAGAATGAAGTACACCATTCATAATATTATGGGTTCACACCTTCTTGTCAAGTTTGAAAGGATTTCCAAAGGTATGCTGTCGTCTGGGTTGATCCGAGTCAAGTTCACGAAGTGGAGAAGGTACGTGTTTGAGGTATTCCTGGTAATTGCCCATTTGTGCTATTGGGACACTGTGTGCTTCATCTACAGGAAAATAAACAAATCAATGAGTAAAGCCTACTTTACCCTGCGACCTCCTAACCCCCTACCAACCCGCTCGTTCCCTCCGCTCAGCCGGCTCTGGCCTGCTCCACGTCCCCCGACCCACCTGCTCCGCTATTGGCGGGAGAGCCTTCAGCCACTCTGCCCCAACCTCTGGAATTCCATCCCCCAGTTACTCCACCTCGCCCCCTGCTTAGACTCCTTCAACTCCCACCTCAAGACCCTCTTCTTCGACCATGCCCTCCCTTCCACCCCCCCTGACCCCAGCTCGGGTCTGAAATGCTGTTACTCTGTCCAGCGCCTTGGGACGTCCTCCCGACGTGAAAGGCGCTATACAAATGTAATCTTGTAGTTGTTTATACTGGTGTTTTACAACTTCAGTGAAATTTTAAAACATCCAGACCAGCAAATCAAAGCTATCAAAATTATTTCCGGAATTGTAACTCCTTAATGATATTAGCTGGCTGCATTGTAGACACAGGATCGTGACTTTATTCCCAATATTTAATAATAATACTTGGATTTGATATAACACCTTATCACATTTTCTAGACATCTCAAAGTGCTTCACAGAAGATACTGTAAAGTGAATTGACTGTATATTTTGTGGGCAAATATATTTAAGAACTGAACACAAATTATACAATAAAAAAGTACATGAAAACATAAAATGAACAGACATTGCCTGCAACTCTGGAAAGTGAGCAATAAGTAGTATCTGTGGGAACTAGGAGTTACAAGATACAGGGCAACCCAGTTTACAACTCAACAGTTTGAGTCCATAAGAATCAGACACCGCATTACAACGGGTCCATGAAAACAAAAATGACTGTTAGACAAGCCTCCAAGTCATCAGGTGAATCTGCTGATGTTAACCCTGGGGTAGTCTTACTGTATGCAGGAGGCTGGCCTGTCTGTCAGCTGTGACCATTACTGCTAGAAACACCCAAAAGCAGTTGCAGCTAACCAGCTGGCTTTCAGCACACGTGCAAGACACCAGGCAACCTGTGCTGGCAAAGTTCTGCACTTCTGGTAACAGTGAGTCCCAGGACACAAGCATACTCTCTAGAACTCCATTGAAAAAGAAACATTTACAGGGATATGGGGAAAGAGTGGGTGAGTGGGACTGATTGGGTAGATCTTCCAAGCTCTTCCACAGGCACGAAGGGGCAGAATGGCCTCCTTCTGTGCTGTAATATTCTATGATTCCATCCTAGGGTTCATTTGACTTTCTCCCTCTCTCAAGGTCCAACTCAAGACCGACCTCTTTCAGTCATCTGAGACACAAGGTAATAAGTTCATATCCCTAATTCAGGATTTTTAACTTGTAAAACACTGACTGTCCAGCGCCTTGGGATGTCCTTCCAACGTGAAAGGTGCTACACAAATAGTGACCAGATTCTTCAAAAAACTGAAATTCTGATGGAACACTTGTATAGTCTAGGCTACACTGCAATGCAGGTCTGAGGGGTGGATTGCTGCCCATGACACCAGGAGAAATTCGGTGAAAGAGCAGGAAAATCGGTGAAAGAGCAAGAAAATAAATATCCTCATAACATTGCCTTTGAGTAATATGAAGGAGATGAGAATAAAAAAAACTCACTGGAATACACAAGGCAATGTTATGAGGATATTTATTTTCCTGCCCTTTCACCGATTTAATGAGAAAGAAAATGTTATTCAGCTACCTTCGTCATGGCCTTTCAATGGAGCATGTACTGTTTTCAGCAGATTTAACCTCATTCTTGTTAGTTGATCTAAAAGATTTCGCCGAGGTATGTCGTATGGATTCTTATAATTCTGAGGTTTCAAATCCTACAAAACAAAATAGACACTCAACTAAAATACTGCCTCTCCATTTTAAAATTAGGATGTTTTATTCACAATCAATGCTGCTTATTTCGGGAAAACATAAGAAAATCAATGTATAAACTATTATCAGACATTTTAAAAAGTGTAAAATATAAATTATCATTACAGACCTTTACACAACACATTTAAAATATCTGCAGTAAAATTCTATACCGAATAAACTTAATAAGTTTGCCAGTACAATATTTTACTTCTCGATGCTTCCGCTAGCCAAGATTAGAGTAGTCAGGTTACATCAATTTGCAGGCAATGCTCGTTTAATAATTTAAGACACTTCAAGACGGGTCTGAATAACACTCTGAACAGGCAACCCATCACCCCTCTGGCAAATGTTCCCTCCTGGCCCCAGAGCTATCTCCTGAAACATCTGTAAGCTATTCTTTCAACCACTCTGTACATCCTGATGCAGCAGTTATTCAGTCTCAGAAAACTGCCAGTACACAGCCTTCTAAGTAAGAAACAATCATATCAGGCCCTGTGTGCATGCGTGGAAGCAGGAAATGGTTCAATAAAGTAAATGGTGCAGCACTAAACACATTGTCTCATTATCAGTCCCCACTATCCTTACTGCCACTCACACAAGCAAGACAGACAAAAGCTAAACTATTTAACTGAAACATCAAAAGGCCAGCAGGGCATCTCGTCTGCTTGAACAGCAGAAAGCTTCCATTTGCTGTTCAGATCTGAAATCAGCAACTACTGTAAAACTCACAGAAGTCTGATCTGTGCAAATCGTATAATTACCTAAATCGTACATCTGCCCAAGTCCTGTTGAATTTCCTAATAAATCCACTTAAATTTATCTGCACTATTTTAACAATCCCGCATCTTGTAATGCAGCGACAGCACTTGCCACTACCAAATTTACCAGCTGCCAGGTCAAAACGAACATCGAAATTGCACACCCCAACGCTCTCCACACCCTCCCTCCCAGGGAAAAACAGCAACGTCATCTCAAATTGCAGCGGGAGTGAGAAGGTTTGGACTGAGAGAAGGGTCACCTGATCACGTGGTGAGCAAGGGGTCGGGGAATGCCTGATCATGTGAAGAGCGAAGGATACCCACCAATGTGTATTATGAATGGGAAATTTGCTCATTCATGTGATGACCGGAACACAGTCTCATGACTACAAGAGCCATGCTGTACTGAGTGTTGGGGTGCACATGTGTCATTCTGTTTGAGGGAGGCGCAGGAAATAAAGTTTTGACTGGCAGCTGGTATGTTTGGTAGCGGCGTAATGAGTTGCGTGATTGTTTATATGGTTTCCTCCACTGATAGCTGGGTAATGAAATCTTTTAATCCAAAGTCTGGGATCAAACAATCAACCTCTGACAATTCTTCTGACCCTACAACCTCAAATACAGCAACTTGCATTTATATCTGTTTTTCCCACTAAAGTCCCGCAAGAGTGAAAACTTCAGGTCTTAAAAATCACAGTATTCTTACCTTGTTCAGGATCCCAATTTGGAATCCACTAAACTCTTTCACATTTAAATCGAGGTGCCTATAAGGAAGCTCTCCACTGATTTGCATTAGAAATTGTTTGAAGTCTTTAGGATGCACTAAGGACAGACTGCTGCTTCCTTGTTTCACCTTAATGCCAGATTCCTGAACTGGCTTCTTTCCAACTGAACTAATGATTCGATCAGATTCAAGCTTAGCCTATTTGGGGGAAAAACAGGGTTGAAGAAGGGAGAATAAAGGTAGTGTTAAACAATGAACATTGGTTTAAACTTCAACTCCAATATATGCGAGCAAGGCATTAAAGAATAGAAAGCTTTAGGCAAAAATAACATCTGCTGAATAGTAAAATACAGAGTAAAGCGATTATAAGTGATGTAAAGGAACGCTTCCCAAATGAAATCGAGCAACACTCTGGCATGTGTGTCATTGTGTTACACTTTACCCAACATGACATCAAAGGGAGCAGAGAAATCGGGACTAATTAATCATTCTAAACCTGATCTATGCAAAGAAGAAATTATTTGGATAGATAAGAGTTCCTTCCACAGACATTGCTACTTTTTTCTGTTTTCTGTTCATACTTTGGATAACTTTAACTGAAACTAAGGAGTCCCTGCAAAACCTGGCAGGTGGTTTCTAAGGGAGTGGAATGAAATATAGAAACTGGTTGGTTTCATCTCTGAATTCAGCGTAGGAGTAGCTCAAAATAATAAAATGAAATAGTATCTACTCTAGCAATACAAACCCCACCGCACTCTTTCAGAGGAAAGTCCCACCGATTCTTATAGCCGTGTTTTTCTCCACAAATCACCTAACCTAATCTGTTTTGTTCCATGGAAAATATTGGTGGTTGTTCCCTCAGGAAAAAAATACTAAATATATCCCCATGATTCAATCAACCAAATATTGTGCACTGATATCCAATTAGCCAATGGAGCCACAAGAATAAAGGTGGAACACTTATTGTAGCTAACTTTACTAGAATGATTCAGGAGGCAAACTAAGAAAAAATGGAGGGTCTTCATAAGGCTTAAACTAAAATGAGCAACTTTAAACAAGATAATCATCAACCTATCGGAAATCTTTATTTTAATAGAAGTACTTTGTCTTTGCCCAAAATGTCTCTCCAGAAAGAAAGGCCTTTTTTCAATAGTTTCCCCTAAAGCTTTCCTTCTCCTTTACCAGTTACAATATACAATTTTACGCAGCTCTAATTTAATACTACAATAGTTCTACATCAAGAGACACAGTTGCACTATTGATGCACTTTAGTTTTATAATGCCAGATTTCTATCCCAGTCGTGATTATAATTTGATTTGAGCTAACCTCTATGGGAGAAGATTTATTAGTATTCCATCAGGAGGCTTTGATGTGATCAAGTGCATTAAAAGGTAAAAAGGAAAGGGAGATGTATTGAATTCAGCAGAGTAAGATTCCAATCTCTCACAACCCAACCAAGAACTGTTGACCAAATAACTGACGTCAGGAGTTTGGCCATTTAGAATTCAGCGCAGCAGGAACAAAATTAAGAAATATTTTCCAAAGTTTCACATCTTACCTGCTGACTAAGCTTTTTGAGGTAAGAAATGACACTGTAGCTAAGACCATAATCCACACCTTCCGCAATCAGGTTAGGAGCTCCCATCATTCTCATGGCCTTTTTCAAAGGCTGTTGATAAAATTTAACAATACAGAATTTAGTGCAGTACGACAACAAAACATTTTTATTTTTGAAGGCTACATTTGATTCAAGGTGCCCAGCCAGCTGCGTAAAGCCCTTTGAAACGTCTTCCTGATGTGAAGTGAGCTATATAAACGTAAATCACTCAAACAGCTGAAGTACACACGCAAACTGATTTCTAACAGTTTGCCTTATCCCTTGGGCACTGTAATAATAATAATCCTTGCATTTGATATAGCACTTTTCACGTCGGGAGGACGTCCCAAAGCGCTTCACAGAAGACACTGTAAAGTGAATTGACTGTATATTTGTGGACGAATGCGGCAGCCAATTGCGCACAGCAATGTCCCACAAACAGGCGTAGACTGAAAATGGCCAATTTATTATTGTTTTTGGTTTTTTGGAGGGATTATTATTAGGCTCTGTGTGGAGTAAGGAAACTTGCTAAGGTTTTGCTGCCTGGAATTGAACTCAGGTCTCTCGCTTGCAAAGCGAGTGCTCTAACCACTGAGCTACAGGACTCCCCAAGTTGTATACAACTCTCACATCTGAGTCAGAAGGCTATGAATTCAATCCACATGTCATGATATTGAACTCATAGGATTGCACTCCTATACATACAGGGATCTCCTGCATTGTTGGAGGTGTCCTAATGGACAAGATATTAAGCCGAATCCCATCCCCCCATCCAAGTGAACAATACAAATCCCATGGTGCTACTTAAAGAGAAGGGAGTTTCTCCTGTATCCTGGCCAACAATCCCCCAAATAAAATTAACATTCACTTCATGCCTGTTTGTAGGTTATTGCTGTGCGCAACTCATCTCCATGTTCACCTACAAAAGTATGGTTGCTACTCTTTACAGTGAATCCTGTGAAGCACTTTGACATCCTCCAGATGTGAATGCACTATATCAAATGCAAGGGTTATTATAACTTACTTCCAGTTTCAAACCTGTATTAGTATTGTAATGTTTAATATGTTTATGAAATGCTTTAGACTATGTTTAGTCTTATATTTTCATTTTATTCTCCTGGCAGCCTCATCCTCCTGCCCCATGACCCCTACCACCATGCCATTCTGTCTCCTTCCACCCCACCCTCAGCTCCCCCCTACGTTCCTTTGCCCTCATATCTCCTTCCTCTCTCTCATCCTCCATCACCCTGATGAAACCCACCACCTCAAGCCTCAAACCCCTCCCCACCCAGCTCCCCTTCCTCTGCCCACAACTGGCAGACACCATTAATCAGCCAATTGCGCATAGCAATGTCCCACAACCAGTTGTGAATTGAAAATGACCAATTTATTATTGTTTTGTTTTGGAGGGATTAATATTAGGCGTGTGAAGTAAGGAAACTTGCCCAAGGTTTCGCCCTGTCTGGAATTGAACTCAGGTGTCTCGCTTGCAAGGCAAGTGCTTTTACCACTGAGCTACAGGACTCATTATTACCTTATTATCTTTAACATTATTACCTTAACAGAAAAGACCAATTAGATCGTCTTAGCTGAAGTCCACATTATAGACTGGCAATGCTCCCAGCCTGTCAGCACTGGGCCTTTTTATTGCACATAAACTCACTCTCTCAGAAACAGAGTAGAGCCTTTCTTTGTAAAAAAAATGTTGTATTAATTCTAGCATTTGCTCTACAATCCTAAACACAGCCTAATATGAGTTATCAGGAAATTAGTTTTTAAAAATATATATTCTATACCCCAGGACTGAAAATTTAGATGATGCAATAATCCTCAAGATATCATTTCCAACATCAAGGGGATTGTTTAACAAAAAATGTTGCTAAAATATCAGGCACTGAACTGGCTTAATTCTAAATCATTCTTGAATTGGTGGGACTAAATGTTCAGTAATTATATGTAAAGTGTAAAAGGCAATCCAAGAATAGGCCACAAATAACAGCAGGGTATAGACAAAGGGGGGGTACAGAAGAAATCATACCACAAGCTCAGCGATACAAAATGGAAACAGTCAGCGAGACAATCTGTAGATATGCTAAACTCTGCACCCACTCCATAGCTCAAGCAATAATTACTGTACCACTAAACTGCACCTAACGTGGGACCACTCCCCATAGCCTAAATCTGTCAGTACAAGAGCAATATAGTACAAAGAGAAATGAAGCAAAAATGAAAGCAAGTAAACACTGAGAGAACAAACCCAGTATCCCATTTAACCTCTTCATAAGTCTCCACTCAACATCTCTCTACTGTACATACGGAGACTATGAACTCTCACATGCAGCTGGAAATCCTTCTACCAGCTCAAAGCAAGGAATATGCTGGAGTTCTAATAAATGGTCAAGGGCCCACATTATTCACCCTCTTTGCACAGCATTTAATCTGGAAGAACTGAGTCAGGCTTCTGGGTTATCCTCTCTTTTTCTCTGAGATGTATTGTTAAAGTCCAATAAGGCTTGATCTGACTGATGAGGCTTCATTCTCGAAAGCTATAGGACAAAAATTGCTCAGCTGACTGCAAACCAAATACAGTACTTAGGTTTCAAGATGTTCGTTTCCATATCCACTTTGTAAGCTGATCTAAAAAAGAAAGGCATAACATCTTAAACATACCCCAAGATAATAAGGAGGCATCGTCTTCAGGTAATTTTCAAACGCCTGCCGCCATTTGATAGGTGGTTTCAATTTATGCACTTTGAACAAATCGTCTGCAAAACAAAAACGAAATCAAATAATGGAGATACACAAAATATTTTTAGGTCAGATTTATGTAAACAAATGGATTCCAATTCTTTAACGTTTTTTCCTTGATGGTCTTCATCCTGATATAAAGGGCATACACCATTAGTCTTTTCCCCAATTGTTTTTTTTTTGCATTCTGTGCTTTCAAACCATTACCGGGCAGACTGCTGAGAGGTATGCAACTACTGATAACGTCTTTAAACATCTCCATACCATAGCCTCCACCTGGCACATCTCAGACCAGGAACACCTGTTGCTGCACTTTGAACACCCAACCTTGAGCTGCAATATATTTTTAAATACACCTAATCTCAGAAATTTTGGGTATCAGGGCACTAGACCTTTATTCCCAAATTCTAAGCTTTCTATTTACTACAAAGTGTATGTCAGAAGCATCAGAAATCTGTAGATCAAAATAAAAATGATCCACACATATGATGCACCCCATCTTGGTCTGCTCAGCACTAAGGGTACAACTAGTCTTTTTGACATCAAGATCCTCATCTCTTGCAGATTCCTTCATGCCCCAGCCACCACCCTACCTCTCTGACCTGCCCGTACCCCATTACTCTGCCCACAACCTTCGCTCAGCTAACACAAGCCTGCTTGCGCATCCCCCAACCCTTCCACGTCATCATCAGTGGCCGTATCTTCATAGAATCAGAGTATTACAGCACAGAAGGAGGCCATTTGGCTCTATGGAAGAACTACCCAATCAGTCCCACTCCCCCGCTCTTTTCCCATATTCTTGCAAATTTGAGTCCACTGATTCACCCACTGATCTCCGGAACTCCATGTCTCAATTCCGCCGCCTCAACCTCTCTTTACCATTAAATCCCATCTGAAGATCTACCTCTTTAATCGCACCTATGTTCATTCATCATTGGCTCGGCATCCAGCCCCACCATTGTACAGAACTCTGAGACGCTATTCTGCATGGACGGCGCTACATAAAAGCAAGCTGTTGTCATCTTAGCTTTCCAGGTTAGAGAGGAACCCACATAAAATCAGCTTCGGATCCTACACCTCATCTCTCTGCAGTGATGACTCCTGTATACACATACAATCATGCAGCACAGGAGGCCATTCAGTCCATCGTGCCCACTCTTTGAAAGAGCTATGCAAATCAATCCCACTCCCCCACTCTCTCCCCATAGCCTTGCAAATTTGTCCCCCCCCCCCCCAAATAACTATCCACTTCTCTCTTGAAAGTTGTTATTGATTCTGCTTCCTCCAGCCTTTCAGGCAGTGTATTCCAGATTCGAACAACTTGCTGTATAGAATCATAGAATTATACAGCACAGAAGGCAGCCATTTATAATCCAATTTCTCCACCTTTTCTCTTTATCCCTCATTCCCCTCACTTCTCAAGTATCTATCCCTTTTAAACATGTCAGTAGTGTTTGGCCATCTTGGGCAATCCATTACACATTCTCATAACTCTGTGTAAAGAAATGTTGTCATATTTAACTTGCTTAGCATGTCGTTGAACTGTGCTCCAATACGAGGGGAAAAAGCCTTAACACCTACAGGATAGAGAAAAAATAAGAAAAATTTACAGGACTAGTGACACTGTTCTTTCAACCTAGAACAAGAGTCAAATCAGTGCTTGGAATGGTTTCCCCTCTCTGATGGCTGTAAGACTCCATGCAAACTTAAATTAGACACTTTCAACCCAGTTCCTAGTTGGTGTGGCTCTGCAACACAAAGCCTGGCACTTTCTATCAGAGGAGCTACAAAGATGGCTGGGGTAAGAAATGGAATTCAGAGAATGTCACAGAACACACACAGACTATGCGGCCCATCACATCTACACTGGTGTTTTTCTCCTACAGCCATTATAACCTCAGTCTCCTGCTCACTTTAATATTCCTCCTCTGGAAGAATTTATCTAATTCCTTTTTAAAAGAATCTACTGATCTGCCTTAGCGAATTTGTTATCTGAACCTCCCCTTTAATTTGGTTTGGTATGATCTTAAATTTGCTCCAGCTACTATTATGCTTTCTGTTCAAAGTACTCCAACTAACATGGAAGGAAAATAGCGTGATAAATATACTGTTCAGTTTAGGGAAAAGATGCACGAGGTTGACCTGGGAGCCAATCCTGATTTGCTGACTCAATTAAAGTACAGTACAATTGCACAGCAATATGCAGTCAGCGTAGCAATTCTGTTCTGCTCCTAGATACATCCCGCAAATGCCAGCTACAAACTCTGATATGAGCAGTTCCTTCCCACCACTTACATCAATAACCTGGGACCTTAGAAGGTGAGTCCCAGCAAAGCTCCAAATGGTAAGCTGGCTTTGCCAGTAGCATTACCAATATAGTTGGTTTGATGGTCAGGAACTAAAATTATTAGTTCCTTAGATTTCCTGTTTGTTTGAAAGAAATATTTATTGCACGCAAAATAAACTTGCATTTTTGTAGCACCTTATCACATCCAAATCTTTCAAAGTGATTCACAGTAATAACTGTTAATGGTAGTAAATGTTTTCATTCATACAGCCATATTAGGAAGTTTTAAGATGTCAATGTAAGAATCTAGGATTGGTGCCAAAATACATGCAATACTGTGAGGACTTTTCCATGCTTTCCTAAGTTATCCAGAATGGTGAGTTAAATAGAGACTAAACGTGCATCAAGGCCTAGATGAGATTTTAAACAATATTTCTGTGGTTCAATTGCAAGTGGAGACCATTTCTCCCCTTCGCCACTCCCCAACACTCTAAACTTCAGAACACTATCAATCATGCTCTCAAGCAAAGATTATATGAACTCAATATAAGCAACAATTCAATTTAAAGACACAAAAATATTAATTTCTACACCGCTCACACGTAAGCCTCTTTATTTGGGGGGGGAGAGGAGAAAAGAGATCAGAGTAGAAAATATAACGGGGAACAAAGATTCTGCGTAGACACCAGGCTGCTTCTTCAAGACCTCCTAAGTGGTTGGGAAAGAAATGTAGTGATCTGACAACATATCATCCTGCAAATGAAGATTTAGAAAAGCTTTCTGGGTCTCATTTTGTTTCAGTATTAGTCACCAAAACTTGTGAAGACAGCGTGATACAAGTCAGGAACAAATATGGCATCCAGCTGTGCAGGTTGTGCTGTAGGGAGGGAGGAAGAAAGGACCTAGAACTGAAGTGCTTACAAGTTTTAATTAAACTGTGATTAAGTGCAATTTTTATCATTTACGGTTAAAATTATACTAAAACTATTGCTGCCATTTGTTTCTCTAAAAAAAAGTTCATATCAATATCAAAGTATGTGCTCTGACAACTTATATAACCAGTGAGACCAATGAGATGGGGACTTCCCTGGACCTGCTAGCAATCCAAAGGTTCAATATGAATCTCATTGTTTTAGTTTTTCATTCACTGTTCAATCTAGCTTTCCTATACTTAGCAGGACTTCATCATAGAAGTGCAAGAAAGTGCCATTAGGCAATTTCATCTCACCCATCCCACCAAAGGCGTTCAGATGAAATATGATCTTGCCTCAAATATCCAATTGTCAGGTTCCATATCAATCTTCATGAACAATAAAATTGCTCTAAAAATAGGTGCAGTGTGCCTGCAGCTGCAATATTTGGTGCCAATAGGTTTTCACACATCCTGTTAAATACAGATGTATAATCCAGGATTCAATTATACAAAAGCAATAAACCAACTATAGGAAGAAATCCAAATGAGCTGAGTGGGGAAAGTGGGGGAGTGGGGGAAAACAATTGCATTTTGCAAAAAAACAGCATAACAAAACACCCAAGTTCAGCAAAAGTTACCTACCCATGAAACAATGCAACAGCAATGGCGGGCCTTGGTGTCGACCAATGAACCATGTTTTCTGACTGTCAGAGGAAGTCGAGAGAGAGGCTTATTGGTCAGGCCCAGTTGGTGCTGATTGCATTTCTCCGGACATGTAAAGACATACACATATACCATCATTAGATTCAGGTAGAACAAATGAATGCAGCACTTAGCAATACCATGGGTGAAAAGTAAAGATTCAAAACCTGTTCTGTTTCACAAATCTAAAAATAATGTTATACCAATTTTGCAAGCATGACCAATAATGAGCAACTTTTTCCAATTTCTACGACTGAGCAAACACAAGATTCACTCAATGTGCTGAAAAAAAATTAACACCAATGATAAAGTATTCAGATCAATGTATAACACTAACTACTCTGGGAAAGAATATGCAATTGGATTTAGTACAACTGGAAATAGACAAAACACTGAGTTTTAATTGCTTTGCAGATACATTAGGTTCCAATAATATAGAACTAACTTAGTTATCTGAAAGGATTAAAATGGACTGACATTTGGGTTGGGATATGTAGCTGCAGTCATCCTACTTGTATTAAATAGCAGCTCTAAACAGCAGCAAGCACTTCTAATGAAATCTAATATTCTATCACCTCAATTGATTTCAGCACTTCAATGACTGTCAAGAGATTTTGGATCCATAGAAGAATATTTTTCCCATTTTTGTTTATTACTTGAAATGTTAATCAACGCATGTCTTTAGCGTGTACTGCTCTTTGATAGATTGTTAACAACCCAAGGTAACAACTTTTTAAATTCCATCCTTTACATGAGAAAGCAAGTCTTTCACTCTTGATGCCATGTTCAAAATCCGGAACACAAGATACAGACAATCATGAGTGTGAACTACTCCAGAGCAGTGTGCTACACCATCTGATTTTGCTTTTAAATTTTGAAATGAGAAGCATTTCACAATTCTCAAAATTCTGAAATCATTTAACCATGCTTTCCCCAAAAGCTAAGAGCATCAGACAGTTGTATTTGAAACGGTACTAGTTTCCAAGTATGTAATTGTTATCATTAATTAAATAAATGTAATGCCAGTATCTATTGAAAGATATTGCACCAGTAATGTGCATTACTACACAAACGTATTACTACGCGGACTGGTACTACATGGGTATTCTCTCATCAGACCACAAACAACTGATCTCGCTCACATGAGCAATAAATACATCAAAGTTCTTGCACCCCTTCACTTCCAAACTTTTTGCTACCAATTACTTTTAAACTTATCAGCTGCATCTCAAGCATTAAGAGAAGAAAACCCAATTCCCTATTGTGCACTTCTAGATGGCTACAAAAGGTATATCTTTTATACCTTTTTAAAAGCATTTTTAAAAAAATATAAAAGGGAACTAGCGTGCTTTATACTCCCTAAATGTCAGTTTAGTTAATTTTCAGACCTAAGTGATCTTATATTTTAAGAAATTTGATTTGCATGAACTATTAAAGGTGTTTTGCACAAATATGGTTCCATTTCTAAAATGAAAATTGCACCATTTCCCATTAGAGTTAATCTTATGAAATTTGGTTTTCTCAGCTTTATAGTAAGTAATTCAAAAACCTGCTTCCTGCTTAAGTAAGTAAATAAATCCCAACTTCCTCCAATTTAAAAGGACAATTGGTGCATTTGCATTTATAGAAGAAAAATAATGCAGCAACTTTGGTCATGGCAAAATGAGGCACTAATAAAGATCTTAGAGCTTGGAACAAGATTGGAAAAGAATTCATGGAACAGATGAGCATTTTTGTTAACTTAATCTCAAAACCTCGTCCTCTATTAGAATCCTCGTAAAACATACTTACCTAAAAGTGGAAGTAGTACAGGGTAGTTGTAAGGCATCACAAAAAGGTTAACACAATTCAAAGCTGTACTAGCTTTTAGATAACCAAAAGGATGACCCAGGTCACTATACTTCCCACTGTTGTTCACATACACCTGGAATGACAAGTCGATCGGTTAGAATTAATATCACACAAAGTTTCATGACAGGTTTGGAACTCAAGTTGTTTTCTGATCGGCTTATCCCCCAATCACTCCGCCTCGCCCCCTCCTTAGTTTCCTTCAAGTTCCGCCTAAAAACCCTCCTCTTCGACCATGCCATTGGTCACCCCCCTTCCCCTCCCCCCTAACCCCAGCTCGGGTCTGAAATCCTGTGTACTGTCCAGCGCCTTGGGACGTCCTCCCGACGTGAAAGCCGCTGTACAAATGTAATCTTGTTGTTTATTAATTAAGGTGCTTATTAGGTGTATGTTTCAGCAGACATTACCTACTTAGGTACAATCTTCCTTTGTTTTTTTTAGTCCCCTTGGGCCACAGACAATAAATACATGAGCAATAAATACATGAGCAATTAAAGGTCTTGCACCCCTTCCCTCCCAAACCTTATGCTACCAATTACTATTAAACTTATCAGTTGCAACTCAAGCATTAAGAGAAACAAACCTGATTCCCACCTAGAATCCCTTTTTTAGATGGCTAGAATGGCATATCTTAGCATTTTTTAAAAAATATAAAAGTGAACTAGCATACCTTCTATTCTCTAAATGTCAGTTTAGTTAATTTTCAGACCCAGGTAATCTTAAGGCAGAGATTAATGCTGGGGCATATGATTTTATAGGAGATCGATCCCCCATAGTAGCTCATGTTCATACACATGGCGAGTGGGGGGAGAGGAACACTGGATCATAATCAGGAGAGGTAACTCAGAATGATTTTTCCTCTCTATCAGGCTGGGGTGAAGTCCAATTCAGTGTCTCTACTGCTTACACAACTGACATGACCCAACACCATAGACCAGATTGAACCTGGGACCTTCTGGGTCTGCACTGTTCAATTTCACTTGGGGCTTATCAAATGAGACATTAAGCAAGAATTAGTGTATTAAGTGCAATCAGTTTCAACGTACAACCAATAAGTAGTCGCCAAATGGAAGAAAACTCGGAATACTGCCACTTTACGTATCTTGCACTAGTAAATCAGTTGTACTGATTCCCCCCCCACCCCACCCCCTCGTTTTGCTACATCCTTTTGGAACCATCTCAGCTCTACACAAAACACAAAACATGAAAATCCAACTGTGCAGAGAATCAAGAGCAGGCAGGCAGGGAGTTTTGTACACAAAGGTTTAAAGTTTGAGGAATACTGCTTTTGTGGTAGGAAACGCAACATTCTTCTTCATTCTTTCAAATAAATTATGCAGCATGCACAGAAAACAGAGGCCATGTACTGTAAGACTTCATACTGAAGTCAGTTTGGAACACTGAAGTAATATGATGACTGAGGGTTTAAATTTTCTGCAGAATAAGTGAGAAAAAGATATCATGCTTTATGGAAGAATCTGAACTGCTCTATATATCTATACTGCAGATAGTGTCATGCAATGTGGCTATAGCACAAGCAGAATTTGTATTTTTCCTTGATATATCTAATTTTCAAAATTGCAAAGGAGCCAACATCAATTCTTGCTGGCACGAACTGAATGTTTTCATGGATGACCTGGATTGTAATCCTTAAGTGAGTCTAAGTTCTTTTAAGTGAATACCCTATCCTGGAAATGAAACATCACCAGGGTTACAATTTACGTCCATAACCTCCTTAGTACGTCTGTACTGATGATGCAACCTGATTATTAAAGCTGAGGAGCTTTTTAAGGTTGGTGCCAAAGATATATCTGAGTCAAAAACAAGCAGGAACAAGTAACAGAACCAGAGTCCAATCTCCAGAGCTGGATCCTGTCGGCTGCCCAGATTATTACCTAACATTGCTGAAGCCATGTATCCTGTGCTAACATTAACTTGTTCCACTGGCCTGTTCCTCTCCACTACGATTGGCTGCTGATTTTGCTCAGCTACTGAAATAATAAATCTGACATTTGATGCAGAACCGATAATGTCAAAACATCTAAATTTTCTTCGCAAGTAATTGCTGTCAAGAGTACCAATACCACAGCCAATTTAACAGGTCCCAGAAACAGCTTTGAAGTGAATGACCAATTCATCTGGAGAACAGTTGGTGAGGACACTGAGAGAAACTCATTTTTCTTTGCGATCAATGTTATGGAACTTTTAAAATCTACTTGAACAGGCCAGATGGAACCTGTGTTTAATGTCCCATTCAATGACATTCACATAACTGTATTAGAGTGTCAACCTGGATTGTGAGCTCAAAGTCCCGACATAGTACTTGAACCCACACCCTTCTGACAGAGAAGCGGTGCTAAGAACTGAGTAGATCAACACCTGACTGACTCATTTGGTAGAAATTATATGGAGAGATAAAAAGGCAATCAATTGCAAACCAAATCAGAAACCAAAGCACAGCAATAAAAATGGTCCTCATTGACTGGATAAGCTACTTACACTTATCAGGTAAAGTACTTCACTGTTCTAATGGGAGATACCCAACCAAGAAATAAAGGGATTTAAGAAGTTTAACCAAAGGCACTGTCAGACATATGTTTTTCGGAATTTTTGAAGGCAGGAAGAGCAACAGCCAATCAAATTGGTTTGATGATTAAATAAGAATTGCAGAGGATAGGACCACTGAAGGCTGAGCAACAAAAACAACTAGCATTTATACAGCACTCTTGGCACAGTGTAGCCTCTCTAAGCCCTTAACAATGTTAGAGCTTGATGCCGAGCTGGGGAGAAAGGGGGATGGTCTTATACAGGTCGAAGAGGAAGCACTTCAGGGTGTGATCTGAAGACATGCAAAGAGGGGGCAAAATGGAGGGTTTGAGGCAGCAAGTTCCAGGGCATAATGGCTAAAAGCACGGCCGCTGACAGTGGAGCAGAGGGGATGTGCAGAAGTCTGGAGCCGGCTGAACAAGGGAAGAGTCGGTTTTGAGCAGACTTGAGAGGAAGGGAGGTGCTGTCGCATGAAGGGCACTATATAAATGCAAGTTCTGTTGGAATGAGAGAAGTCCATGCTGAAACACAAAAACATTTTTTCCTCCTCAATCTCAGCCACCCAGTGTAAAAGCAAGCTATAGTAAATTAGGTATATTATTTCCAGTTACGGAGTAAAGCTGCCTCTGCTCTGCTGCAACCTTCGAGGAACACCTGCTACTGAAGCAAGGACAATCCTCGCTAAACTAAGCAAGTGGGCCGATTGCATGCACGCACAGTAAATAAGGTCCATACTGGAACTGTATTATAACCAAATCAGCACTATAGAGAAGTGCATTATAACTGGGCTGCGCTTTATCACGGACACCATAAAACAACCACTGACATGAACGAGAAAAGGCAGAGCCAGAAAGGATTGCTTGCAGCATTAATGGCCATTGGTTTCATACATTTGCACATTTAAAATTGCAACATGAAAGACAACTAAACAAAGAGTATGGGTTAACTCACCTGCCAGCAGGCGTGAGGAGATTTACGTTCCAGAATATATTGGGTTAAAGGTGAAGGTTCCAGCTCATATTTATCAAAAGGGAGTTTTTCAATAACCATTGGATCACAATCAGCACAGGTAAACTTCAGCACAGGATGAGCATTACGAGGTGGCTGGTTTAAGAATGCAAATAAAATGAATTGTTACTTACTGAAATGTTAAGAAGTCACTGATAATATTAGGAGCATGAGATGATTAGGAACATGAGGATACTTGCTCAACCATGATACACCATTTCCCTACCAGTTTTTTAATACTATACCATTCAATACCCTTCCTTCCTAAGCATCTCCTACTTTGAAAACATCCCGAATCATTCTGTTGCCACAGCATTCTGAGACTGTTATCAATATTTTCACAGAACCTACATGAAGAAAAATGTTGTAACCTCACCGCTAACCATCATAACTCTAACTTTAAGATTGTGTTGCCTTATTTTGGATTCACTCTAGCAAAGGTTACAATCTAAGTTGTTAATTCCCATCATTATTTTTTAAATCTCTATATCAGTCAACCACTCCTTAACCACCTTGACTCAAACGATTACAACATAAACTACCCAGGTAGCTTAAAACTGAATTGCTCCATCCCAGAATTCCATCAGTGGACACGGTCCAAAGGCAATAGAGTAGAACTCTATTAGGCCACCAAAACCCTCATTCATGTGTTCATCACAACTAGCCGCGACTACGCCAACTCTCTGCTTGTCAGCCTTCGCAACTCTTCCCAACAGCAAGATCATCTAGAACTTTGCAGCTCGTGTCTAATCCCGTACCATCACCTCCACTCTCGCGTGACCCCATCACCTCCACCCTCGCCTGGCTCCCCATCCTCCAGGGGATACTCCAAAATCCTCGTCCTCACTTTCAAGGCCCTCAAAGTCCTTGCCCCTCCCTACCTCTGCTACCTGGTAATCCCATATCAACCTGTCCGCTCCCTCTACTCAGCAGGTTATGGCCTGCTCCACATTCCCTGCCCCACCAACGGCAGTCGGGCCTTCAGCCTCTCTGCCCGCATCCTTTGGAACTCCATCCCACGTTCCCTTCGCCTCGCTCCCTCCCTTGCCTCTTTTGAGGCACATCAAAAGACCCTCCTCTTCAACCTTCGGTCACCCTCCTACCTTCCATTACCCCAACCCCACTTGGGCCCAAATCCGACTGTCCGCGCCTTGGGACATCCCCCCCCCAATGTGAAAGGCGCTGTACAAATGTAATTTTGCATTGTATTATAATGCTCTTATAACATTGATTTGCTTACAGCACAAATGAGTTGGGGACACCGACATGTTCTTACCATTAATCCCAAACCATACTCCCTTCAAAACCTGTGACCCACTGCAAAATCTGAAGTGCAATAATAATAATAATCTTTGCATTTGAGATAGCGCCTTATCATGTAGCGCTTCACAAAATATACCGTAAAGTGAAGTGACTGTATACTTTGTGAGCAACACGCGGCAACCAATTGCGCACAACAGTGTCCCACAAACAGTCGTGGATTGAAGTGATCAATTTACTATTTTTCAAGAAATTATTACCCCGGAAAAGTGATCCGCCAATCGACTACCAACGGGGTTCCTACTTACTGCTAGAAAAACAGGCGTGTGGATTAAGGAAACATGCTCAACGTTTCGCCCTTCTGGGAATAGAACACAGGTCTCTCACTTACGAGGCGAGTGCTCAAACCACTAAGCTACAGTACTCCACTTCTTAACTTATCTGCACCCACAAAAGGGTTAATCTTCTGGTGTGCAATGAAACATTTTGAACCAAGACAATGCAATTTCAAGTGGGACATTGCTGATCAAGCCGGCTAGCATCCCGCAAGTGTAGCCAACGTCACTGGTCACGATGTGGAAGCGCTCCCCAATTAGTCATTCGTGATCACAACCAGTTTCAGGTGGGTTTGAATTTTATGCACCTTATACCGGTTTCTATGGTACATCCCTCATAAGATTGCGTGGCCAAAACTGAACATATTATATAAACGCAGTAGCACCTTAAGCAGGAGAGCGATATTCTTGTTGATTCTGAGCTGTGGAAAGTCATAACTCATCTAGTACTTGATATCTGATAGGTAATTGGCCTGAACAGCAGTGGTACTGCAGTTAAGTCTGTTCAGAATAATTTCACGTTTAGGCTCATGTGGGAACTCCTTTTAAAGTATGTAAAGTGGAAACTGGTTGCACCCAGAGGGTATAAAAAGGGGATAGCTGCGAGAGCCTTACTCGAGCAGAGAGCCCAGAGTGAGCTACGGCCAGAGTGAGAAGGAATTGGCTGCGAGTGGGAATTAGGTGCAGAGGGGGAAGTATATCTTCTAAACGACAATAACACAGGGATAAAGAGAGTGAGAGGAGAGAATGGCCTGGCAGGTGCTGTGTGAGGAATGTGGTATGTGGGAGTTGATGGAGGGCAACCTGAGCCCGGGCGACTTCATCTGCAGCAAATATCTGCAACTGAAGAAGCTCCAGCTTGGAATAGCTGAGCTGGAGTCTCAGGTGGAGACACTGCGCAGCATTAGAGATGGGGTGAGCTTCCTGGACAGTTTCATCCTGGAGCCAGACACTCCCCCGAGTCGCAGAGAACATTCCGTTACCAGCCACGGACAGGACTGGATGACGGTCAGACAGGGGCGTAAGGGGATCCGAAAGAGAGGGGCAGAGGAACCCCAGGCTTTAACCTTGTCCAAAAGGTATGAAATACTTACAACCTGTGTGGACAAGGAAGTCTGTGAGGAAGATGGGCAAACTTACCCCAACACCTCTATACAGGAGGTCACACTGGGAATAGTCAGAAGGAGAATAGTGGTAATTGGGGATGAGACAGTCAGGAAGACTGACGCACTTTTCTGCAACCGTTGCAGGGAGACAAGAAGACTCTGTTGCCTTCCTGGGGCCAGGGTGAAGGACGTCACTTCTGGGCTGGAGAAAAATTTGAAGCAGGAGGGAGTGGATCCGATAGTTATGATTCACATAGGGACCGATGATGTAGGTAGGACAGGTAGGAACATGTTGAGGAGCAAGTTCCGGGAATTGGGAGTTAAGCTAAAGAGTAGAACTTCGAAGGTATTAATATCGGGATTATTACCTGAGCCAGGGGCAAATTGGTGCAGGCAAAAAAAATTAAAGAACTGAATACCTGGCTAAAAGAATGGTGCGGAGGGCAGGGGTTTCACTTTATAGGCCACTGGCACCAGTATTGGGGGAGACAGGAGCTATTCCAAAGGAATGGACTCCACCTAAACAGGGCTGGGACAAATGTCCTGGAACACAAATAAATAGGGAGGTAGACAGGGCTTTAAACTACTAAGTGGGGGGGGGGGGTTAAAATCAATCACATGTAATCCATCACAATTAAAATTAGGAACGATGAAAGTGGGAGAGCAGATTAACCAGGGAGATGAGCAAAGTGTGTCAAGCGGGGAAAGGAAGCCCAGGGATAGGGTACTGGTGAATAGGACTAATAGCCCAAAGTCAGAATTAAAGGTGCTATATCTGAATGCGCGAAGTATTCGAAACAAGATAGATGAGTTAAATGCACAAATAGAAACAAACGGGTATGATCTGGTAGCCATTACCGAGACATGGTTATAGGGAGATCAAAGGTGGGAGCTAAATATTCCTGGGTATGTGGCGTATAGAAAAGATAGGCAATGTGGTAAACGATGAGGGAGAGGGGATAAAGGATGGGATAAAAACAGTAGAGAGGAAAGATTTTAAATCAGAAAACCAGGAAGTAGAATCAGTATGAGTAGAGGTATGTAACAACAAGGGACAGAAAACTCCAGTGGGAGTAGTTTATAGACCCCCGAACAGCAGTCACAGTATCTCTCAAGGTATAAATCAGGAAATTAGCAGAGCATGTAGTAAAGGAAAAACATTAATTGTGGGTGATTTTAATCTGCACATAGATTGGGACAACCAAATTGGGAAAAGTATGATAGAAGAAGAGTTTACAGAATGTATTAGGGATAATTATCTAGATCAGTATACTGAGGAGCCAACCAGGGAACAGGCCACATTAGACCTTGTTTTGTGCAATGAAGCAGAGCTGATCAGTAAACTGGAAATTAAGGCTCCTCTACGGCAAAGTGATCATAATATGATAGAATTTAGCATTAAGTTAGAGAGAGAAGTAGTTAAGTCCGAAGCAAAGGTTTTAAATTTAAGTAGAGCCAATTTTGCTGGTATGAGAGAGGATTTAGCCAAAATAAACTGGGAAATTAGACTTAAGGATTTGACAGTAGACCAGCAATGACGTTTCAGGAGATAGTGCAAAATTCCCAGCGAGCACGTATTCCTTTGAGGAATAAAAATGCCACGGGAAAGGTGACCCAACCGTGGCTAACTAGAGCAGTTAGGGAAAGTATAAAGTTAAAGGAAGAAGCCTATAAAACAGCTAAGATGAGTAGTAAACCCGAGGATTGGGAGAACTTTAGGGATCAACAAAGGAGAACCAAAAAAGTGATTAAGAGGGAGAAAATGGAATATGAGGGCAAACTAGCGAGGAACATAAAGACAGACTGCAAGAGTTTTTATAAATATATAAAGAGGAAGAGGCTGTCAAAGGTAAATGTGGGTCCGTTACAGGCAGAGACGGGGGGAATTATAGTAGGGGACAAAGACATGGCAGAGTCATTAAACAAGTACTTTGCTACTGTCTTCACCTTAGAAGACACTGAAAACCTACCAAGAATAGAGGGGAACCAAAAAGACAATGTTAGCAAGCAACTTGGGGGAATTAATATTAGTAAATAAATGGTTTTAGGTAAATTGTCAGGTCTTAAAACTGATAAATCTCCTGGACCTCATGGCGTACATCCTAGGGTTTTAGGCTACTGAGATAGTGGATGGCTTGTCTTTGATCTTCCAAAATTCTCTGGATTCTGGAACGGTTCCCGTTGATTGGAAGACTGCAAACGTAACACCACTATTAAGAAGGGTGGGAGAGAAAAGATGGGGAACTATAGACCAGTTAGTCTGACATCAGTGGTAGGGAAAATTCTTGAGTCCTTAATTAAAGATGTCGTTATGGGATTCCTGGAAGACCATAACAAGATTAGGCAGAGTCAACATGGCTTTACAAAAGGGAAGTCATGCTTAACTAATCTTTTAGAGTTTTTTGAAGATGTATCTAGCAGGTTAGATAGGGGGAACCAGTAGATGTAGTATATTTAGATTTTAAAAAGGCATTTGACAAAGTGCCACACAAAAGGCTATTGCACAAGGTTAAGGCCCACGGGATTAATGGGAACATATTAGCATGGATTGAAGAGTGGCTAACGGGTAGAAAACAGAGAGTAGGGATAAACGGGTCATTCTCGAATTGGCAGGATGTGACTAGTGGAGTGCCACAAGGATCAGTGCTTGGGCCTCAGCTATTTACAATTTACATCAATGATCTAGACGAGGACATTGAATGTAACGTATCTAAATTCGCGGATGACACTAAACTAGGTGGGAGAGTAAGCTCTGAGGATGATGCAAAAAGATTGCAACGGGATATAGATAGACTAGGGGAGTGGGCAAGTAGGTGGCAGATGGAATTTAATGTGGGGAAGTGTGAAATTATTTACCTAGGTAGAAAAAATAGAAAAACAGATTATTTTCTAGAGGGGAGAGATTAGATCGTGTTAGTGTTCAGAGGGATTTGGGTGTCCTTGTACACTAGTCTCAAAAAGTTAGTTTGCAGGTGCAGCAAGCAACTAAGACGACGAACGGCATGTTAGCGTTCATTGCAAAAGGCTTAGAGTACAAGAATAGGGAAGTCTTGCTGCAACTGTATAGGGGCTTGGTGAGACTGGACCTAGAGTATTGTGTGCAGTTTTGGTCTCCTTAGTTAAAAAAGGACATACTTGCCATAGAGGGGGTGCAGCGTAGATTCACTCGGTTAGTTCCTGGGATGAGGGGACTGACCTATGAGGATAGGCTGAATAGACTAGGGCTATATTCTCTAGAGTACAGGAGAATTAGGAGAGATCTTATTGAAACATATAAGATTCTTAAAGGGCTGGATAAAGTAGACACTGAGGGTCTGTTTCCCCTCGTAGGAGAATCTGTAACCAGGGGTCACAGTCTTACAATTAAGGGTCAGCCTTTTAGAACAGAGTTGAGGAAACATTTCTTCACTCAGCGGGTAGTGAATTTATGGAATTCACTACCCCAGAAGGCTGTAGATGCTCAGTCCTTGAACATCTTCAAGGCTGAGACTGATAGATTGGTAAAACATAGAGGGATTAGGGGATATGGGGGTAGGGCAGGTAATTAGAGTTAGGTCTGAAGATCAGCCATGATCTTATCGAATGACGGGGCAGGCTCGAGGGGCTGAATAGCCTACTCCTGCTCCTAATTCCTATGTTCTTATGAAACTGAAGAGAAAAGAGCCTTTTGTGTCAACATTCATACAACCTGATATAGCTCTTACATTTGATACATTACACAACAGTACATTAAAGGAGTTTCTCAAAAGAGCCTAAAGGTGAATGAATTGTTTAATCTTTCTCAACACAAGTAACCATGTGATATTAAAATACTATTTTAGGGGCTAGGAAACATGGTATACAGGGCCTTTTCTATTTTGTTTACCACATGTGAGTTTCTGGTTTTGTTCAGCTCTCAGGAAAAGGCACCAGGCAAAGGTCAAGTAACTCCCCAGCGGCGGTGGTGGGGGGGGGGGGGGCAACAAAAATTACATAAAAATAATAATTCTTGCATTTGACATAGCGCCTTATTTACGTCGTTGAAGACGTCTCCGAGCAATTGACAGAATACATTGTGGGCGAAATAGCTTGAATTGGCTATATTTTATTTAATGTGTATTAAGCTTCCTGGAGACATGCAAACAGAAAAAGTAGCATTGCAACTTACCAAGGTTGGAGAGTTTTGGTCTGGCCAAAAGGACTCTGGGATTGGCCAATGTCCAACTGGAACACCGGTTTTGGGATTAGGCCGTACGTAGATTAGTTTGTGACAGTTGTGCCAAAGTGGAGATCCAAACGGAGAGGGGTGTTTCAGTGCATCAGAAATTCCATCTGAATGAGATACGTGAAAATTATAATGTAAATATTGATACAGCATTACTGCATATATTTCTATTCTATTTAGATTCTTAAAAGGTTAGTCGCCTGTATTTCAGTCCTTCATAGATTTATGACCTAATTCCAATTAATCACAAATCATTTCCCCTTCCCAACAAGCACAACAGCAGAAGCTGGTTTGAGAAAGGATTACAAAGCAAATAAAATATATGCATTTATTGAAAAGCAAGATTGCTTTCTTGCCCCTGTTCCAGCCTGTGCTTTCACAATTCTTTCCAGACAAAAGGCTTCTTTTTTCTTCTTTGAGCTGGTCAGAAACTTACATGGAGATCAATTTTTAAAATGGCAGAAGGCAAGGAGACCAGTTCAAAGTGACCACTTTCAATTAAAGCAAGATCTTAAAATCTTACCGGTATTAAATAACAAAAACGCTAGTGTAGCGTTTGCTCAGCAATATAACCTTCATTACACCAGAAAACGTTTGTAATTTATCACAACTAATTTAAATTTTGAAGCTAAAATAGGATCAGATGCTGGGTTGTTAGAACCATTTCTATTGTTAAGTTTCATGGTAGAAGATGCCTACTTTTATTGATGTTTACAACAGAGACACCCCACACACACATTATTTTACTTCATGCTTCATTTTGGTGGGGAGAATAAGGAAAGGAGACTTACATTTTGGTGGGGAGAATAAGGAAAGGGTATAATGTGTTTTTCATGCACTGATGTATTGTAAAAGGGCATCTCAAGAATTTCTAATTTGGCAATATTAAACATCAGCATCTGCTCAGCCTTTTTGCACAATTGCAAAATAACGCAGAACATGTAATCAAGCTATAAACTAATTTAGGTCTTAAATGAGGTGGTAGCTAATAAATGTATTGCTTCCCACACACTTTCCTCTCTTTTACACACTAAATATTAGAATTCATCCTTAGAAAAATCACCATTGGCAATGATTTACTTTCAAAGCAAAACCAATTGATGGGTTTTCTTTAAAAGCACATTAGAACCCTAATCTGGTCAAATAAAATGACTACGTACCTTCTCCCATTGGTGCTGGATCAGGCCCAGTCTTTTCAAAGTTTAACACCACTCCACTTTGCACTTTCTGGACCAGTGACTCCAGGCATTGGATCAGCATTCTCTGTGTATACACACAGTATGAACGACCTACATTATTTGCAGGAAGAATAGTTAAATAAAAACACATTACCACCGGTCAATGAAAATTAGACAGCTCTGTGTTTGCCAAACACATAAACTGCCTTTACATTACCAGGTTTCCTGCAGAGCCAGGCCTACCTCTGGTAGCCATCCTAGCGGGAAATTTCCAAGTACCGAATTATCCTTGACCTTCATTGGAATCAGATCTTCTATTGCCTTGGCAGTGAGATTTAGTTCAACAGTTTTTGTCTTTGAATCCAAGGTTTTGAATCCACTTATATGGAAATTAAGACATGGTCTGTTCATGCATCAGGATTTTTTTGATGATGCTTAGAAAGCCAAAATTTTACATAATTCAGTTCAAAATTGAATTTGAACATGAGGCATTATTTCAGTGCGATTGTCAAATGTGCACTACTCAGGTGTAATGTGGTACCCACGATAGAGACCCTTGCGCGACAACTGAAGTAATCATTGAGAAAGAGAGAAAATACTGACTCCTGTTTTTAATCCTTCAACAAATAGTAAATACTCTTTCCTCTTCAAGCATACTCAACCTAAGCAAATCATATTGTTAATATTTTTAACAGCATAGGTGCTCCCAATGAACTCGCAGGAGCTGAGTGGGAAGAATCCCTGCTGCTCGTGATTGGTTTGCCCCTTGAAATCCTGTCGATGAGCGAGAGTGCACTGGAATACTGCAGACTTGCCTGGCTCAGGAACTGGACTACAGAGACAGCTACTGAGGATTAACTTGATTCCAACATTCTGTGGCCAAGCACCTCGCCTTGGAGCCAGCTCAGCTTCAAGGAGACTCAGCTTATCTCCCTCCCAATGAGATAATAAATGGAAGCTAAGCATTCTAATAATAATAGTAATAATCCTAACATTGCACCTTTCTTTCATGGCAGTGCATCATCTCAAAGCGCTTCATAGGATATATTTTAAAGTGGAATGACCTTGTATTTTGTGGACAAACATCAAAATAAATTGGATTTTTATAATGACTTAAATGCCAAATAGTCTCAAAACCTTGCACAGAAATGATCATTCAGTGTAGTGACTATTTTTGTAGGTGTATAGCAAGTACTACAGACGGTTACAAAGCGAATAACTGATTAATCTGGAGGACTGTCTGCCAAAAGACTAACAACTGCCTTCTCTTTTTGAAGAGTGTCATGGGATTAACAACATCCACCTTAGGATAGACAGACAGAACTTCAATTTAGCATCTCATCTGAAGAGTGGCACCTCCAACAATTCATTACTTACTTGGTTTTGCACTGGACTGTGAACCTACAGTACGAGCTCAAGTTCCAAGGTTGGAGCACAGAGGTGAGAGTACCAGCAACGAAACTGACAGTGAGGAAGGAGGAAGAAAAATCTGGAGGCAGATTTGGTACTGACACAATGAAGTGTCTACTACATAATACTGTATTTTATCAGGTATATTGGCAAAGCATAGGAACAAATCATCTTCTGACCATATTGGCTGCAAGATCTATAACGGGAGGAAGCCAACAGAAATTTACAGAACAACTAAGGTTGACACTCACCTCCTGTAACCTCACACATGGGAGTAATGGCAGATTCATCAGATGGCACATTGCCCAACTGCTCTGGTTCAATAGGCATCGAGCCTGGGAGGCGTAAAACTAGAGCAAACAAGCGCTGATCCCATCGGAATGGTTCCTTGGTTAGTTCACTCCCTGGTAAAGGAGAATTGAGTGGTAGGTGGAGCTGGAATTATGAAAAAGCAAAAGCTCAGTGATCTGCCAAATCAATAGTTTGGCTTTACAACTAAACAAAACATGTCTAATTCAGAGACAACAAACAACTGCCTTGAAATCACCCATAAATTCATTTTTTAAAAAGTTTAATTGCTCAGCAAGTGAGTGCACCATAGGCTTTATACGGAGACACACAATCAGAAATGTTTCTGGTTCAAAACCCCTCTCTGTCTCAGGTGAAGAAACGTTCCCGAGTGCCTGTGAAGTAGCATGACTGACCTCACAAGGCCAAGGAGAGAAAGATACTGAGTGGGAATAAACCCCAGGTTCCCAAGTCTTAATTATTAGCGATTCCTGCTGTAAGTGTCTACGTTCACTCGTGATACTAGATTTGACATGGGTAAAGAACTGCTGTTGAGACAATCTTAGCCCTCAACAGCACAGCAGTTATGGTGTAAAATTTGGATTGGTACCATGTGTTCACTGTTGGTCTCAACCTGTTCCTTAAATGATTAAACTTACGTAACCACTAATTGTGTAGATTTATTTTGGTTGGAAACGTGTACCATGATATAGTATAGATACACATTCTATGTCAGAAATAAAGTAATAAATAAAGTAATCATGAGCAATAATGCTGAACAGGAAATTAAAAATGACTAACTAACCAAGAAAAGAAAAAAGTGCACAACCTTAAAGCTGAATACTGAGGAAACATATTATAATAAAATATGTAAGTAAGTACAAAAAGGCAAAGTGGGAGAAATCCATATCCCAGCCCTTCCTTCCATTATGACATTTCATATCCAGCATCAGGTTTAATGGCTAAATGACATTGGAGACTTCACAATGAAGAGTCCTACGATTATTATTGCTGCCCCTGGAAGTTATTAAGGTATCCTCACCCAATATTGTGGAGGGAAGAAAACGAACACTGTATTAGTTGGGACATCTGCATTTCAAACAGTAGTTTTTTTGTTTCAGAAACAATTGCAAAATGAAAGGTCTTGACTTGCCTCCTTATTCCACCCTCCTTCCCCCACCAAACCTGATATGTTTTTTTTAAAAAGAGGCAATCTTAATCAGCTTATGGCATGGGGACAAGAAAGTAGAATAAAAAAGTGCAAAATAAATGCAGGCCATTGGTTTGGGGAGGGGAAGATTTCTCTTTATCTAAATAAATATACACACACTTGCCCACATTTTCAATAACTATTCAAACAAAACTGAATTTTTGCTTTATTACAGGAAATTAGTGTCATTTCTAACAAAAAATAGCGAGTATATTTTGATCCAAATATAGTTGTAAGGACGTTTGGCTTGAAGCTATCTTCTAGTTCACATGCCAAAACATATTTTGGATTTCATTTCTGTTCCCCATCAAGATTTTTCCATTTCCTCAGTTTGTTAAGTCAAATTCCCTAAACAACACCATTAGATTCACAAAACAACCTCCCAAAATTCAGAAGAACCTCCCCAAAATTGCAGTCATTCAGTGAACAAACAGCACAGAATCTTTTATTATGTTTAATTTATCTGCAATTCACTCTGGTGGAAGTGCTGTTGTAAAGGAGGATTCCCAAAAGGCAGCTCTCCATAGCGAAAAAGATCTATTACTCACAGCTTAACAGCCACACGTAACATGCTGGCATCAAGTTTAAACTTGTTGCGCATTAGTTACTGTTAGTTACTGTTCTTGCTAAGAGCTATTTGTAAGCAAGTGCCTCCTTCGAGTATTGGATTCACACTGGTTAATACCAGGAGTTGGAACAACAAATGTCTGTCCAACACCCATTACAAAAAAAACTTAAAGCAAGATAGTCAAAATCATTTTAGCCATCAATTTGGAGGCCAATTCATTCTGAGATTCTCTCACTCTAACATCTCAACCACAGCCCAACCCGATGCTCTTTAAACAGCGCTGGGTTAGGTGATTAATCAGGCTGTTCCCTTTTTCTTCTTATTTAATTATGTGCTAGGCACTAAGGGCCTCCATAAAAGGAAGGCTGTTTCCCAACCCCAGCAGGTTCCTGGCTAACCAAAGGGCTGAGTGGATGGACTCGAAATATGTCATCCCTGTCACACTGGTCTAAAGAAGAGTGCTGAACCAAATCAGGATCTGATCTATTTTTGAAGTCATGGAATTGGAACGTGTAATATTTGTCAAACATTATGAAATCATAGTGCTTGGGGAAAGAAAAGCAAACATTAAGAGAAGACAGCAAGAGGGAGGGGAGACACCAATAAAAGGAGGAGGTGAAGGGAATAGAGAGAAAAGACATGAGGAAATCAAGAATGAAAATGAAAACTGGAGCGAGAAAAAATAAACATTAAAACCTCATATGATAGAGGTACATTTTGGATATGGCATTAAACAAGATGTTCCACCAAAGTAATGTTGCAGGTTTAAAGATAATATGGAAGGGAAGGTTGTATTTGTAAACTTATTCCTTCTTTAATCTTCACTAACGATAATTAAGCTTTATCAATTATGTAGAAAATGCAAATATCCATTAATACCAGATTTGAACTGACGACCTCCACCCCCTACCCCTCAATGGCTTCTCCAACAGGCTTTTTATATGCCAAACAGCTTTTTGCAGTAAACTAGGATCCTTTATTCCAAGCTGTTGGACAAGCATTTAAAAAAAATTCAACTCATAAAAAAAAATCTTTATTCTTGCTTGTATTGGACTCTCAATTCATGTTTCCAACCTACTGGCTCAAAGCTAAAATCTAAGTGAACCTTCCTTTCAAATTAAAACAAATTCTACTGGTACTTATAAAAGAGCACCATTACCTTTCTGCAGACCAATCATCTTCCAAGGGGACTAGAAAATTAATTTTCCTAGTACTATAGCCTTAGATCAGATTGCATTTCTGGACAAAGCACTTCTCCTCCATCCATTATGTCAGTATTTCAGAGGTTTGACAGTGTTCCAGGTCACATAATAGTCTGTAGAACACTGCATGGTTGAATGTTTCAACCACATCTGAAATACATGTATAGTTCTATTTGATGATTTCTTCTAAATATTTTCCTAGATATCACTACTCTGAATAGTCCTGGATGTCTATTATTCAATTGATTGTTTGGACAAGGACTCAATAATCATTAAATTGTGTGTACAAGCTATCGACCACTGTAAGTTTTTGTGTCACTCTGAATGTAGAGGAACAAGTGAACCAGACCAAATAATCAATTGCTTGCAAATGCAATGTCATCATCTCCCTTCCATGTAGAAACATACCAACCGCACAACAAGTGATGAATTTTCATCTGTAAGTCTAAAAGTTTTATAGCATAACAACGCCCATATGGTCCAAAATACTGGTAAGCAGTTATTTTGTTCCTTTCTCCACATACTTATTTTTTCCCCTTTCCACCCTTCAGTGAGGACTGATTGAATCATTCAGCACAACATTCAGTATTATTGAGCACATCATTAAGAATTTTTGAGACTCCAAAAGAACAAGTTTTTAATTTCTTCCAAATTTATTTCCATTAAACTTGATGTTGTTGATATATCCTGAACAAATAGTTAGTAAAGGGAATGAGGACCAAAAAAATTCCTAGTTATTCATAACAACAATAATTTCTGGAAAGCATTGTTTCCTTAAAAATAATATTGAATGCTATTAAGGGATAACACATTGGGACCTACCTCCTCTTGTACACCACTGTTGCTTGTCAACTTGTTTCCATCTGTTATGGTAACAATGATTGACGGCTCCAGAAAAAATGGATTCCGCCCCTATAAAACAAAAGAAAGCAATGCATTTTGGAAGAGTTTTGACCTGATGCAACATCATTTCAAAAGCTGCTGTTCCTCATTCACAGATGTAACTTGAAGCTCACTGCTGATTTAGCAAAAGAATGACAAATTTCTTTGAACGATAGTGTCTGTGAACTATTACAGAATAATTTAGTATTAAATAGTTCTCTGCAAATCTAAAACAAATCCTTAAAGTATGATATTGCAATGACAGAACAGCAATAGATTTTCTAAACACTATGCAGATATTGCCAAGAATAATGTATAGATGGAGAAAAGCACTCCAAGTGAAGGGCACTTCACTTCAAATGCAACTTGTTATCGAAAATGGGGAGAGGAAAACAGAAGAGTTTCCTGGTGGACAATTAACACAAATGATGATAATGCTCTTGGAAGAAGGCAGCAAAGTTGGATAGAACTTTTCTGTTAAAAAGGGACTATGAATGCATAGCCTCAGAGAAAATCTATCGCCTCCCTCAAAAAAAACTACCATTAGCAAAATTGGTGAAAATTTAGACCAACAAAGATCAGCAGATTTAGCAACAAATTAGTAACACTGGCAGTTTACTTGTCCACTAACCAACTACAAACTTATGTGAACTACTTAATTTCAAACAGTCTGTGGTTATCTGCGTGCAAAATGCAACGTCACTGTACATCAGTTTAGTTAATTATGAGCACACTCATAATGGCAACACAAATAAAGAGTTTTTACGTTCTTTGTTGTGTATTTTAAATACATAATTATATAATTTGTCTGGTGGGTTTAGATCCATTAAATAGTAGAGTAAAACTGGCAACTATTAAGTTGGTTGAAGATATTTCCATATTAACATGTAAACTTTACAGTACATCATGTGAAATGTTTAAGAGATTTTCTTGATATAGAATATGGTTCTATACCAAATGAAAGGATTATACTGACAGGAATAGCAAGGGTATTCTGTAAGACACAAATACAATGATTCCATTTATCATTTAAATTTATACTGCCTGAAACATTTGTGAATGGTTATGATTTTAAATATTTACAACATACACTAAGTGAATGAAAGATTAGACAGTCATTGCTGGTGCTTGAACTCAGTCAGTGATTTTCATACTTGACAACACAACATATAAACTCACTCAAAAGTACAATTCTCTCATTTCCACTGAAGGTATACTCAATATAGGAGCAAACCTTAAATAGTTAAATAAGCCCTTCAAGAGCATCCATGTTTACTTGCAAAATATCTTACATTATGTACATTACATTATGTGTTTATTTATTTCCACATGAACATCCCATTCTGATTGTGTTATTAACTTTTGGTTGTTTACTTTGCTGATCAGATGGATGACCACTTTGCCATTGGTAATTTGAGGTCCGAATCGAAACATAGCCCAAGACTTTTTTGTAAATTTAACTGGCTGCTTATCATATTATTGTTCGCTCTGAGAGCCGTCCGGCGTGGAAGACGCTATATAAATCCAAGTTGTTGCTGTTGTTCACAAGACGTTGCTGGTGCAGATTAGTTGTTGAATTTGCCAAATAAAAAAAATTAATTTCTACTATTTTCAAAAGTAGCTTTTAGGTTTCTTTTAATGTCAAAGGCACTATAAAAGCAAACTTTATTATATTCCTGCCTCTTTCTTGAATGGAATGAATTTAACAGCAAGCATTTCCATTATGAAACCCAAGTATTGGAAGTTGTTCTAATGATGTATTTTACTTGCTGGTAAGAGGGTCCTCATCATCCCCCTTACACAACTCTTTGTATCAATTAAAGATCCTGCTGGGGGATAAATGTAGTGAAACAAGATACTATTAATTGAGGAGTCCACCAGGATTCCAGTAAGTCTGCTAATATTTCCTAAATTTTAAATAGATTATTTAAACAGACAAGATAAATTAAAGACTCAAGCATATGATTGAGCTTTTATTTTCTCTCATTTTGGCCTTCAATACTATCCACTCCTTAAGCATTCATCATTCCTGATCAAGAGCCAGGAAAGAGAATTGCATTCAAGTGTCTGCTCCTTCTGGAAGTCAATAGATACATATGAATGAGATTGGCCCCTTCATCCTCTCCCCATATAATCAAATGACCAGCCTGTGTCATTTTATGTTTAGGTTCCTTGACTTCTCATTCTTTTGATTCCACTGATTTCACCATCTCACCAACAATATAGTGATAATTTAAACTGAAAAATTAAATTGTTACAATGCTCTAAACAGTGATGGATATTCAGAATATTGCATGGGGGGGGGGGGGGGGCAGGGAGAAGAGATGAGAGAAACGCTGAACTGCACAATTTGACAAGAACAATCAGCAGCAGCTAGTTTTCTTTTAAGCGGCTTGTTTTGCTGAAAGTATAAACATTTAACAGGAATTCAATTTGCTGAGGAGTCAGAAATGCTTGGAATTCAGCACAAAATATGTATGGTCATGTTTCTCAAAACAACAAAGTTTATTGGTTTCAAGGGATTGAACTCAAAAGGAGAGAAACTGGTGTACCTTCACAACAGACTCCCACATTGGCATAAATATTTAATAATAATCCTTGCATTTGATATAGCGCCTTATCATGTCTTTAGATGTCTCAAAGTGCTTCACTGTTAAGTGAATGACTGTATATTATGTCAGCAAAACATGGCAGCTAATTGTCCCACAAACAGTGAATTGAAGTGACCAATTTATTATTATTTATTATTATTATTTTTTGAAGGAATTATTACCCCTGGAAAAGCGATCTGCCAATAGACTAACCACCGGGTTCTTACTTATTGCTGGGTAAACAGAGGCGTGAGGAGTAAGGAAACTTGCCCATCGTTTCGCCCTGCTCGAACTACTGAGCTACAGGACTCCACTTCTTTACTCATCTGCACCCACAAAAGGGTTAATCTTTCCATGTGCTCAATCGTCGTCCCCCCGCTCCCCCCCCCAGACACACAACCCGCCAAATAATTGCAATTCCAACGCTCAAGTGATTGATGGAACACATTTGACGCAGTAGTCCCTGCAAGCCTACACTGGACTCTTAGAATCACTGCTCGGCATCGCCGAATGCCAGCCCATTCTTTGAAAACAAAAGCCTCAAAAGAATTAAAATTTAAAACAAGACATTATCCAGCGGTGAAATGCACAGCATACTTCCGAGCAAAGCCCGACGCTGTGCTGTCAGCTCGAGAGGTTTCCAGCACTGCAGTGCACGCAAACCCTCGCGGCAGGACCGGTCAAATCTCCCTCCCCCGCTCGGGCTGCGCTTGCATTACCATGACCACAGGAGCATGCTGGGAACACACGCAGCCAGAACACAAGCTGAGGCTCGCTGGGGCTGCGGTTAATGATGCGGCGGGGCAGCCAGGCAGCCGTCTGTCAGCGCTAGCGGCTATTTTAAGATATCGGGGAGAAGATTTTAAGATCAGGTTTCATTTTTTTTTAAAAAAAAAAGCTCAACTTGATATGTTAAACCCGTGCAGTTTGGGTTTTTCCAAAGGGCAACGGTCAATTTGAATAACCCTGGAAAAAAAAGTTGCAATCAAGTTTCCAGATTTTGTCCAGCACATATTCATTAAGAGCACAATATCATGCTCCTTGTGAGTCAATTGTCAGTAATGCAATCTTGTGCATACAAATCTATGTCTCGTCTTGGAATATTTAAAGAACTTGCATTTTTATATCACCTTATCACACCTCATCTTCTCAAAGCAGTCAGTCGTGTCTTGTGCAGTGACTGCATGTTTATAGGAAAATGGGACAATCTTTTTGTACACAGCAAGTCTTGAGGTGAGTGGCCAATTAATTTGGTGACCAGTACACTGGGAGAAACTATTCTCTTTTTGAATACTATAATGAGACTATTAGCATCCACCTCAACAGGCAGACAACTTGTTTGTGATATATATGTGCATTACTTTAAATGCTGACAATAGGTCAGGTTGGAAAAACATGCATGTTCAAATAATTAATATTTGTTCCTTACGCTGTGTGGACTATACAACTGAGCATTTAATTTCAAATCTAACAGCATTTTTTCTTAATCAGTATGAAATTCTCAAAATAAGCAATTCATATTACTAGTGAGGTTTGAATGAAGTCCATTAGATCTTATCTTTGCAGATTACCCAACCTTCCATCTTCTGTTATAACATCAAGAGGTCACTTGACTGAATAATTTCCTGGTAACCTATTCAGCTGTTGATTACCCTTTGTAAACAAAACCCTTTGTGGCTATCTTGCCCTTTATAACCATTAATTTGTGCCCTCTTATTCTGCTGTTTTGGCATACCTGAGGTGATTTTCCAGGTTTATTCAAAGGATTGTGAACCCGTGATTCTGGAGAAGTGATGGATACAAGATTTTTTCCCCCAACTTTGTACAAACATGACGGGTTTATGGTGGAATTAATGGTAGCTTTTCCAATTTTACAAAATTTAAGAGGGTAGAAGTCATACATTAAATGCAGAGTAAAAGGCCCTGAATTATAGGGTGATCAGAAACGAGATGGAAAATTGACTCAATCTAACTGGTCAGCAGGTAATGTCTGTCACATGAAGAAAGCCATCACTATGCTTAAGAGTATCTAACAACACAGCTTTCCACAAGTGTATGCTGCCTACACGTGGAATTTTCCATGTATCGAATGTATATTCTTTCCCTAGAGAACACTCAAACCCTGCTTACCCAATTCTGTGGAGTATTACTAAATAACCCTCGCATTTGATATAAAACCTCACCTCAGGTGGCTATCTCAAAGTGTTTCACAGGATTTGTTTTCCTGTATAGTATAAAATTTAGTGCAGAATAGTAAGAGTCAAGACATGAAGACCCCAGAGTGTGCATTGGGGTACTGTGGACTATAACCACTAAAACTGGAAGTTTATCATTGAGTGCACTGCCTTACAAGCTTCTCCCAGCTCGGAAACCCATCGAGCTTTGGTTTAGAGTTAACAGAATCCGAGAGGGAAAAATCCACACCCAAGTAACTCGTGT